GGGAGAGCCCTGATGAGGCTAGCACTTGGCCAGCTCTGAGAGTCCTGCAGTAAAAGAAGCATGTTTAGCATCTTTCAAAAGCAACTGACCATGAATTTTTTTTTATTTTCTAAGGACTGGGAACCAGGCAAGCATTATGTGACCAAGTGCCCATAAATACGTGGTGGCCTGGTCTCCACCACCCGGTCCCAGCTGCCAGCCACTCTCCACAATCTTATCTGGCCACCAGCCTTGCACACCTTTCCACTGTCACATGGGACTAACTGTGGTTCCCTTTTTATCCCGCTGTTGACACTCCTGTACACCTGAACCTGTGGTTCCTGGACTGTGAATGGCCAGGGGCCCTCTGTCTGTCCAGTGTCACCTCTCTGATGCAGCTGAAGCAACACCTCCTTGTCCTGATGCCCTCTCTACCTGTGTGAGCAGACCCATCTCCCCTGCCTCGCTCACCCAACTCACTCACTGTATCAACGGAAGGGCATTTCTTTAGTCACCTGTGCTCCTGCACTGGGCTGTGAGCTTCTTGAGGCAGGGACTGTCATTTTAATTTACCTCTGGATCCCAACCTCATGTTTAGGGGTTTAACAAGTATCTGTGAATCCCAATAGCCTCTATTCCTCTGAAAATGGGGTAGACCCAACCTTTTCAAGAGATGAATCTCACGACTTTCATGAGGTATTCTGTTAAGAAGTGATCCTTCCTTCTTTAGGGATGAAGAACAGAAGCACAAAGATGCCCCAGTAAAATTCGCTCTCTAACTCTGTGACTGGCTCTCGAGCCACAATGCAAATCTATGAGTTTTCATTACTGAAACCGCGAGATTATATTCAGGCTTGCCAGACCTACTATAGTTAGAATACAAAAAGAAATAGCAACTTAAAAGAGCAGAGAGAGATAATGCATTCTGCTGTCAAAAATAAATAAAAAAGAAAAAAAAAAAAAAAAGAGCAGAGAGAACAGTTCTCCATAAGAAAGGTCCACAGGAGTGGAGATCATCCATAGTCATCACCAGCAGAGTTAACACTGCATTTTGTGGTTTGAAAACCTGTTGAATCCTAGCACAGAATCCGAGGCTGAACTCTCTTGTGACCAAGTCAGACAGAGGCTGCCATGGGGGAGGCACACTGAAACCACGTCAGGTTTAACTCTTCAACTGTCAAGGAGGCCATCATTTTCTAAGGGCAATTGACATTGGAACAGGCCTGTTAGTAAATATTCAGTTATAAGCTACTGTTTAATAGGTGTAGGATTTTGGTTCTACAAGATGAAGACAGATTCATGGACATGTGGTATAGTGTGAATATACTTAACTGTACATTTAAGAGCTATTAAGACAGTAAATCTTATGTGTATTTTATGGAAATTAAAAATCAATTCTAAGCCAAAATGTGCCTTTTAAATTTCCATAAATGAAAATTTCTAAATCTTTATTTGGGAGACTATGTCTGATGCTTAAAAACATACATAGTAGCCTAGGTACAGGAATACCCATTTTTGAGGCAGCAGGTCACTTTTATTATTATCCAAAGCATTATGATTTCCTCTGCCATGGATGAAGACTAAAATTAAAACTTCTGACTGTGGCATTACCAGGAAATTGTATAACTGGTAAATCTACCTAGTGGAATATCTTTACATTTTACATTTGGCTAAAGCAATAAGTTGAAGATCTTCCATCATTCTCAACAGCTATGTAAAAGGAAATAACAAATGATAATAGTGTACACTGGCATCAAGAACCTTGGTACAATTTTATACCATCCTCAATATAATGTTCTATATAGTCCAGGGGCCCAAGGAAATACACCAGAAATGAACATAAACTCTACCACAAGCAGTGTTTCTAGAAGCCATGTTAGTCCTATAGAACCCTAGTTTCAAGGAACTTCTCTTTTTCTTATTCATGCTCTTCCAAACCACTACCATCCACTCCAGCCCTTAGGTGTTCATTTCCTAACACTATTTTTTTTCATTGGTGGTGGTGGGATGTTGGGGATTGAACCCAGGGCCTCATGAATGCCAGGCAAGTACTTTACCATTAAGTCACATCCCCAGCCCCCTAACAATCTTTTATCTGACTAGAAATAACTCATCCTGTCCCTTACTAATAGTGTTCAGATATTTAAAAGTGCTGGAGAATTCTTTACTCCATAGCTAAAGAATGTAGGTGATAATGAATTCTAGGAGGGCACTCTTGGAGAGAGATGGGAAAGCCTTACCTTGTTTGCTCCAAGTGCTGCTGAAAAAGGCTATCATGGTTCATAGAAAATAGCTACTAGGTGGCCCTCCCAAATTTCCTTGGGGTTCCAATTTTTAGATAAGAATAAAGCAAGCAGCATTCTTCTTGGCTAGCAGCATAATGTTATTGTCAATAGAGCAGGCAACAAATAAATAGGCAACCGAGGATTCCACAATGCCACATGCAGTATTTTTGTTTAGTCCAATCATACATGACAGGAAAATAAAAACCTTTATTAATAAATTTGGAACATGATAATGTTTTACTGGGTTAAAGTTAAATTCTCAAACTGACTATATTCTTTCAGAAGTTTTTATTAGAAAAGGTGTTTTCAAAATTAACTTAAAAAAAAAAAAAAACCTTATAATGGGGGCTGGGGTTGTGGCTCAGCGGTAGAACACTTGCCTCGCATGTGTGAGGCACTTGGTTTAATCCTCAGTATCACATAGAAATAAAAATAAACAAGATAAAAGATATTGTGTAAAAAACAAACAAACAAAAAAACCCAAAAAAACCAAACTTATAATGGAGATTTTTAGTGTTTCGTTTTTATTCTGGTTTATTAGAGTAAATGAAGAATGAGTTAAAGTAAGAGGACAAATTTATGGGCATATCTGAATTCATGCGAGATCTGTATGTTTTAGTTCTGTCCTAACTGCTTCAGAATACGACTATAAACCACTTCCAAAGAAGTTATATAACTGTACTGTAAACATTTCTGCTATGTCAATAAACCTTAATAATTTAATTATGCAGGCTGGATCAACATAATACACATAACAAGCAGGTATGTGAGCTTCTGAGACACACGGCATGGTGGTCACAGTCACACTGACTTGGATTTGAATCTTGCTTCTGCCATGTACTGGCTGCCTGTATTTGAGCAAGTTATTTAAGTTTTCTATGCCTTAATTTTATATTCTGTAAAATGGAGATAACAGTATCAATACCTCATAGGGTGGTTAAGAGGCATAAATGTGTTATTTGTAATAAAGTGTGTAGCACATAAGGGTATAGAAGCATTTGTTAAGTAAGTAGAAAACAGAACCAACTCCATGGATACTGTCTCAATGAGTGTTTCATGCCCTGTCAATGTAGAGTAGTTGGAAAAGCAACGGTTTGGCTATTTCAAGCATTCATGAAGGCAGCAGATATCAAGAGCCAAGAGGTGTTATAGTTTAGAAAGCAAAGCCATTCTCCACGGACGAAGGCATGGGAAAGAGGGACAAAGGGTAAAAGCCAACCTATGGGAGACTGACTGGAAATCGAAGAGCTGGAATCAGAGCGCTTTATTTTACTCCCAGGATGGTGAACTAGAATAAAAAATATATAAACACAAAGAAACAGAGACAGAGCTGGAAATGCAGAAACTAGTCAAGAAAGACAAACTGGGGGACAGTGGGGGAGCCTCTTATACACCCACATGCAGCTCTGCTAACAAGATAAAGGAAAGCATATAGTTAAGCAGGATTCAGCAACTGGGATTTGGACATTTTCCCCTTTGCTGCTCATTTGATAGCATTCTTTCACCTTTGGGCCAGTGGGTCAGCCTTTCACATTTAATAGGAAGACACCCTATGGTCTTAGGTGACCATCTGTCTTAGAAGTTTTGGTGCTGTTGGTAGGTGTCCTTTAACTTCCTTCCTAGTCAGGGGGGCTTACCAATTCTTCCCTGCATGGGAAGAGCCCAATACTCTCTGAGTTGCAGCCACAGGAATTATATAAGGGATCTAGGCTCTAAGATACAGGAACCTAAAAGGCTCCTTGCTAGTCTGGTGTTAATAACACTCCAAACTGAAATGTTCAGATGATACCATTAAAGTCTTAACTTTCATTTCTGCATTCTCCCTGACAGCGCTGACCTCTCTAGCCTTTTCTCCCTGGCACTTGAGTTCTAATTTATGGTAGGTGGGACATTATCTAGGCAGTGTGAAAAAACAATAAACATAGACCAGAACTGTGACAAAACAAAAAACAAAGACCCACCAACACTTCTAGAAGCACAAAAAGAGCAGCAGTGTGGCCCTACTTAACATCCTAACATGTACCACCCACTTAGGATGCTTCCTTACCTCGGCAGGGATCATTTTTCACTAAAAATTCATCCAAGGCCATCCATCCTCCACCAACCCGGACCATCACTGTGCTGCGCAGAATACGGACCAGCCGCAACTGCTGAGAATCCCCAAACTGTAGAATCAAGGGAAAATTTAATGAGTATGCCTTAAAGTAGATTTATACTTTTTCCCCTAAAGCAGACTGTATTCAGATGGAATGACAATGTCATAGTTTTGGGAGAAATTTAAGCTCCATTTTGCATTTTTTATAAGAGGGTTAACAAATAGGAAAGCAGAAACATCAAGCTACAGGTCTGTGTCTTCAAGTACTTTCCACTGGGATAGAGTCCTCTCTTCCTGGTCATAACCCTGCACCAAAAGGAGAGGGGGAAGATAGATAAATGTTCTCTCCTTTTGATTCTCTTAAAGATTCTGCCCAAATCAGTGCCTACATTTTGTTATGCAAATTTGTTTTTCTAAAAGATAGGGGGTGGATGTCAACTTCTGAATACAGTGTGCTTAAAAGTTAAATGGAGAACAGCAAATTCTAAGTCAAGCCATAAGGAAACCCTTGCAAAGCATCATTATTATAAGCTTGGAAGAAAAACAAGACTTTTTGCATCTGATTTTCTGAAGTAAATCCTAAGTATTCTCTAATTGCAATGTCACCAGGAGAAAGGGTTTCTTCAAGCTACAAAATGATCAGAAAGCATTTATTCTAAAATTTAGTTGAAGAAATAAAAAATTTAATTGCCCATAATTCTAAATAGTATTCAATAATTATTCTGGACCTTGGAACAAGCATGATCTTCTAGTGTTTATTTTTTCCTTTTGTTCTAATATTCCTATTTTCTAGCTCTATCTTGCCATTTGGAGTTTCCCATTGCATAAATAGCCCAAAATGAAGTAAGAGGCATCAAAAGAGAAGCATGCTGAGATTCCAAAACAAACATCAAACACTTGGTTAAAGAAACTGAATTCCTAAAGTGATTTAATTCAAGAAGGATGTTCTCAGGGGAGTGGAAAAGGGATTACTGAATTGTCAACCAGCATTTTCAAAGTTATAAAGGAGAATAACTTTGAAACAAGGCAGAAAAATGGAAAAGGTGAGAAATGATGTTTAAGAAGGGCATATAACCATCCTCCTTCATTATTAATAACTGGTAGTAGTTCTCCATGTTTCTCAGCAGCTCTGACTCCAGTGCACTATTTATATAGGCAAGGAGACTAAAAAATCTTGTCCCTTCCTTCCCAGCCATTTACTTTGAATATAAATAGTCCTATGCTAATTTTTTCATAGTTTTTAAAATTTTATACAAGTGACTACAGCAACAGCACGGTGGGGCAGAAGCAGCACTCCTTGCAGCTATGAGGGAGGAAATGCCCTATCATGGAGGGCAGCTGCCCCCTGCTGTGTAGGAAGCTTGTTCTGGGAAGTAGCTAGGCTCCACCAGATCAAGCACAGTGACCCCCCAAGTCACTGTCTAATTTGATATCACTAGCTTTTCTCGGTATAGGTGAGGAAAAAGAGTAATATGTACTTGTGTGTCCTCCAGAGTGAACAGGAAGGCACCCAGGGAGGTTTATTCTTAGAATACTAAGTCCTAGAGTTTACTACTCCATTTATCTCATGGTTGGTTTCTCTTTAATTTCTCAATGAAGTTCTATTAGAAAGATTCTCACTTGTTTCTGCTGAGCTCTGGGAAAAGGAAATTTGATCCAAGGCAAGAAGAACCAGAGTATCTGGGGAAGTTGAGGCTAGACTGACAAGTGGTAGGAGAGTTACAACAGCTCTAAAAATGGAAACCTACAGAATAGGGTTGTCAGAGAGGCTGAGAACTCTGAACCAGAGTCTTGGAGGCCAGTAACCACTGTTTCCTTTTCTCACAGGGAAGTGGGTTTTTAATGATCGCACTGATATTAGCTGTATGACAGTGACATGTGTTCTTTGAAGCCTCAGGCACCTTGTGTATAAAATAATTTTATAATTTTATCTGTAACATTAGAATGACTCATCTGACCCTCTTTTGGTCAATAAAGCAGTGGAGGAGGGCATCAGTGCCCCTTCAAAGAGGCCCTAGTACCTGAATGGTCACCAGGAAGCAGGCATGCTGGGTGCTCTACTGCAAGGATTTATTTAAAGCCACTTGACTGTTCTCATCTTCAGTTTATTTCTATCCCGCTCTTGCCACTGGCCCAGAACATTACTGTAGTTAGTGATTATTGCAGTACCTGGAATTGAGCATTGACTGAGGGCCTCAAATCAACTCTTAGTGTTTCGAATTTCACACCAGAGAGACAGATTTAACATGCAACTTTCTTTGACATTTAAAAGACACAGGACCCAAGAGCCCTCAAAAAGATCTGAAAGGTTAGAATTACCAAGCGGAGTCAAAGCATCCAATCTTTTATATAAGTCTAATTTGATATCACTAGCTTTTGGTCATAACTGGCAAACTTTAGGCCATAGTCAATTATAATTTCTACACTATAATTTTCAGGAACTTTATAATTATAAAATATAATAGTAAGTAATGATAAATATTAATGAAGTATTTATACAGAGAGTACTAAAATACCCCTAGAACTTTTTGACTTAGTGTACATTATGTAAAACTTGTGCTGTCAAAAGACTGATAAAAATCAGGAAGAACTGAGCTGTGACTTCCAATATAGAAATACAAGAGTAGGCTCATCTTACAAGTAAAATGGATTGATATCCTAGTCTCAATTTCCCAAGTCATATTACTTATAACTCAGTACAGCATAGTGTCATCTTTAACCAATCTAAGTTTGAATAGAATTTTTCATCTTTAAAAAACAAAAATAAGTATACTTTGATCCTTTTGCCACTGAGACAGCTTTATAATACTGGCCCTGTTAGCAGTTTCTCCACTTGGTAAGACAACCAGATGTGACCCAGGCATGCTTCAGATTATGTCCTCTCCCCACAGCAAAGAACAGGCAGCATCAGCTACACAGACCATATCCACTGAGGAGAACATTGCAAGGCACACTGTACCTGATTGCCGAGGAAGAACTACAGACAGTAAGAATAAAGGATGGAGGGAAAAAAAGAGAACATTTTGTCAAATTAACACTAAAGAATGAAATCATATCATGTTACCAGTCTTTTGAATATATACTGACTATACTACCACTGAACTCCTGCCATAGAGTAATGATTTTACAAATTAAGAAGCTCTAACCTTTCACTCTGTTGCTCATTAACTCATTTCTCTCCGAGGTTATTAAAAAACAAGAAAACAAAACCTACCCAAGCAAGCATAGGATTACCTGGAGCTCTAACTAATGTCCTGAGTAGGATTCAAGGCAGAGTCAACCAAAGCCCTCAGCCTATAGCAGCCTGGTGTAGATTTGGTGTAGTTTGAGGATATTTTTGAGGCACTAATGAAACCTAGATTTTCCTGTTTTTTTTTTTCCAGCCAAGCACGATCATCTACATTCTCTTTGCCAAACATATATTTTTCTTAGGACCGTGGGAATCCCAACAAACTGCTGAATATATTTTAGGAGCCCTATTTTGAATTCCTTTTATGTCATTGACCCTGGTCCCAAAGAAGCTAAAATACAAGTACAGCTCACTGTTATGGCCACATCTAACCTCCCCAGAGTGCCCAGGCCCCATCTGTAGCCCAGCTCAGAATAGGCAAAGCATCTGTTTGGGGCCTTGACATGGTTCCTGCAGTCTTCTGAGGGCCTGGGAGCTGCTCAGGCTCAAGACAACTGCCTTTTTGGAGTGAATAATCAATCAGTAGGTATGGTTTCCAAAGGTACCTTCATCCCTGCTTAAAGACTTTGGTTAGCAGTGTGATGAAGACTCTTAAATGATCACTATCTTATCAAATACAAGCTACTGTCAACCTAAATCTGGTAAGCTCAACAGGACACCTGACATTTGACCTCTAGAGATGAGGCCAAAGAGTGACTATATCTCAAGGCCATGGGCACCAGAAGATGGGACAACCCAGTCTGCTGTGTGTCAGGTTCTTTCACCTATAAGGGCCACATATGAGGAAACAACCACCACAGAGGACTGGCTCTTCTCTTCCTTACCCGGTATTTATTCTCTCCGATCTGTTCCACCTGAAACCTCTTTGCACACTTGCACTGCGCCACCTGTCTTGTGACCTATCGGTTGTGAACAATAACAAAAATAAATCGTGATGGATAGAACAAGACTTCCTAGTCAGAGAAATAAAGACCCCCCTTTTTAACATATAAACAGAGAAGCCATCATTAATTGTTTTTTAGGCATTTCAGGACTTTGACATAGGTATTTATCTTCTAATCCAAATTAATCCAAACTGCGTTACTCAATGAGGTAATAAAGACATTGAGAAAGAAAGGCTAGAAAGAATTTCCCAAGTAACTATACAATATGTTCTTCATCCTGCTTCAGAATTCCTTTAGAGGTAAGTGCTAATATGCATGCATCAAAATCAAATGATCACGGCTGGGGTTGTGGCTCAGTGGTAGAGTGCTTGCCTAACATGCAAGAGGCACTGGGTTCAATCCTCAGCACCTCATAAATGTAAAATAAAGATATTGTGTCCACCTAAAACTTAAGAATAAATAAAAAAAATTTTTTTAAAAAAAAGACTGATATGGTAACTGTACCCAACCAAATCCAAGATAGTATAAATCTATGGTTAAAAATACACTTAAAAGACAGTCATTTCCCATACCTCATCTTCAATTTTATCTGCATCAGTTGTTGGTCGATAAGCATCCTTGTTGGGATGAAGAGCAGCCACAAATTCATAGTAGTCAATATAGCCATCCCCATCCCGGTCAAAAATGTCGGCCACAGCAGTCATTTCTAACTTGGTGGTAGGGAACTCTGAAAAAAAGGAATCATAGTGTGAAACATCGAGAGGCCTTACTTGGTTGGTTGGCAGTTATATAAGTATTTGAAAGAAAAAAATATATAAAGATTAAACCCACCCCACTTTTATAAAGATAAAAAAAAAAAAAAAATCACTCAAAAATTTACTTTCTAGGGGCTGGGGTTGTGGCTCAGTGGTAGAGTGCTTGCCCAGCATGTGAGAGGCACTGGGTTTGATTCTCAGCATCACATATAAATAAATAAGTAAAATAAAGGTCCATCAACAATTAATAAAAATATTTTTTAAAAATATAGCATTAGAGGCTACTAGTTAAGACTTTAGAATTTCTGTGTATAGACTTCCTCACTTCCTATAGAATTAAAATACTTAAGTAATATTTCAGATATAACAAAAGGCATAAAATATTACAATTACTCATAGACCTACCACATAAGAATTATCCACTCCACTACTACTGGTTTTTAGATGAGTCACTAACTCAGAATAGAGACAATTTTGAATTAATAGAGGAAGTTTTTTTCTACACTTAGATTACTGATTTCATTTTTAATAAACTGCTTTCCACAGGGAAGTGTGAACATTCATAGTGGTCAGAGTGATTTATCAAAACATAAATCAGATTATATTGTTTCTCAGCCAAAAACCTGATGGCTCCCCATTGTCCTGCTACCTTTGGAGTGATATTTGAACTCTTCACTATGGCCCACAAGGACCTACATTAACTGACTGCTGCCTATCCTTCCAACTCCACCCCTTTCCTTTTAGGTTGTAACACACCAGCTATGTTAACCTTTCTATTACTAGAATGTGCCACATTCATTCCCATTTCAGTGCTCTGTGCCTACTGTTATCTCTTCCCTAACTCCTCCCACAAACCTTAATATGGTTGGATCCTTCTCATCATTGGGATCTCACCTCAAATAGTACCTGCATAGACAGGCCTTCCCTGACTTCCTTACTTGGAGTTATACAGCTTAAGAAGTGCTTTGTGATCTTGGCAAGATACTTCAGTGCTTTATGCCTCAACTACGTCTTCTGCTAACATGTTGTAAGCTATTACAGAGAGGTCAAAAACTGCATTTGTGAAAAATATTCTTTTTTTTTTTGGTGGTACAGGGATTGAACCCAGGGCCTAGTGCATGCAAGGCAAGCACTCTACCAACTGAGCTATATCCCCAGTCCTTTTTTTGTGTGTGTGAAACTGCCAGTGGACCCAGGGGAACTCTAACATGGAGCTATGCCCCCAATCCTTTTTATTTTTAAAAAAATTTGAGACAGTGTGTCTCTATGTTTCCCAGGCTGTACTCCAACTTGAGATCCTCCTGTCTCAGCCTCCTAAATTTCTGGGTTTACAGGTGGGTGCCATCATGCTTGACTTATGAAGAACCTTCAAAGTTTTAAAAAATATTTTTTTCAGAACCTCATAATTCACAAAAGTTAGTTTCTTAGTTATACCTCAAATGTTTTTGTCTTGCCCCAAGGTATCAAACACACACACGCACACATATATATGTACATATATTTCCAGTGAAATGAGATTTTTCTCTCCATCAAAACAACAAATGAGGGCTGGGGTTGTAGCTCAGTGAAGAGCACTTGCCTCACACGCATGAGGCACTGGGTTTAATCCTCAGCACCACATAAAAATAAATAAATAAAGATATTGGGTCTATCTACAACTAAAAAAAAAAAAAGACTTTTTTTTTTTTTTTTGTACCAGGCATTGAACTCAGACGCACTCAACCACTAAGCAACATCCCCAGCCTTATTTTGTATTGTATTTAGAGACAGGGTCTCAATGAGTTGCTTAGCACCTCACTTTGGCTTTGAACTTGCAATCCTTCTGCCTCATCTCCCAAGCCACTGGATTACAGGTGTGTAGATGACTTGAGCAGGAAGTTATATTACTTCTTCCCCAAGATTACACTTTCACTTCAGAGAGACTGAATATTACAACTTCTAACAGTAAGTGCAAGGAATCCAGATGTGAAATGTATTTGGAATTACAAATGGACTCACTGGATGCTAAAATGCCATCGATAAACTCCTGACGTGTTATCTTCCCATCCTGGTCTTTGTCAATGCGTCGGAAGAAGTCCATTACCCGAGACTTTTTGTGATTCATCCAACGCATATACTTTTTCCTCCAAACATCAAAGTCAAAGTTGGCAAATTCCTTCAGCTAGACAGAAATCAGAGGTGTCAATAAGACCTTTTACTTATAGCCCTCAAAGCTTCCCAGAGCATACCAAAGTTCTCACATGTTTAGTGAAGCCATGCAGGCCTTCTGAGGGGCACCAACAATGCTATCTACATGTTGTCTCTTGTGAAGGCACAATCTGGCTCCTTCACTTAAAGCCATGATTATTTACATGAGCTGCAGTATAATGCATATAGCAGGAGCAATGGTAACTGAAAAACCACCACAGAAAATACAGAGCACGAAGAACAAGAGTGGGTGGAACCCAGCCTTGCTTTTCCTTTGGATTTTTCCAAGGACCACCCTCTTAGTAGTAGGGAGTAGAGTCTATCCCAAAGGGAGATCTCAGCATCCCTCAATTACATTTTTTTGAAAAATACTATGACCACACACAGGACCCACATCAGGAGGCTCCTGTTTCCCATTATTTCCTGAGACTTCTATGAGGAAATCTGAGTTCTATATGGAAGAACCCAAACCTGCCCCCATGCATGTTTCTTTGGAATGGCACCAGAGGGAGCAAACTGCCCACCTGATGTTTATGTTAAATGTTTGGCCTTAATTGAAAACAGCAGGCCTGTGTGGTGGGCAGGGTGATTTTCAGTTACTTGGACTATGTCAGTGCTTCACACTCATTTTGACTTTAGAGTGCAGTAGTTTTCCCCCTGGTCTTTCAAACTCCAAAGTTGGAAGGAATGGGAGAAAAAAGCGCCAAGAACCAAATATGCTTAAAACTCAACTGACCTACGGGAAACAACAACAAAAAACACAGAACACTCACTTCTGGGCATAGCTGCTTTGATATGCACAAATAAAAAAATATAAAAGATATTAGAGGTTTGTTTTAAAACTAGGAAGTGCAATACTTATCTATTTTTATATTGGTAATGATAGTTCAAAATCAACTTGCTTTTCCATGATCTAGTGAAAACCAACAGAATAACAAGAAATCTAAAAAATTACTCTTATTTCATAATTGGGTAGTATATTTATCTACATAAAAGGGCTCAATAATGGTCATTTCTTTAAGCTACACATCTGGAGATAACTTGTCAATGTTATGTTCCTGGTTCTGAACCATAGCAAGGTGCCAAGAAGAATCACGCTGGATTGGCTAATTAACTGCTTTCCACACTGGATGCTACAATCTCCTCTGCTGTGAGTGGTTTTCTCATGAACAGGTCTTTTCATTTAGAGCATGAAAAAAGAGTACTGGGGCTCAGTGTAGGTCTAATTCTACTTCTTTTTTTAATTTTTATTTTTTATGGCACTGGGGATTGAACCCAAGGACACTTAACCACTGAGCTACATCCCCCAACCCTTTTTGAGATGGGGTCTTGATAAGTTGTTGAGGGCCTTACTAAGCTGATAAGATTATGGACGTGTGCCACCATGCCTGCTTCATCTGATTCTGCTTTTGAAGAAGTAGGTAAAGGCACACAGGTCATATAGAAGGCCTCAGAAGGACTGTTTTAATAACAGAATCACATAGGGACAGTTGGTGGAACATTACCTCCTCTAATCTATCCAAGGCATCATTCAGCTTCCGCTGGCGCTCCAGGGCTAGCAACCACACCTGCTGCCAGCGGGCAGAGAGCTGGTTGATTCGTGGATTTTTTGCTTCAGATTGTGAGAGGATTGGCATGGGAGGAGGTGTAGGCTGACTTAAGGATTTCCCTAAAAGGAAAAATAACCACAAGATTAGAAGAGCTGGTTTTGTCAGTTCAAAAACAGAAACAGCTATAGATGTAAGATCTCTATAATGCTATCCCGTCTGTAATGGAGAAAAGAAGTATGGGACTTGGCAACATGAAGGCTTACTAACTCCAAAACTACTGATCCTCCTAAGCGAATAGGTACTTAACTGCTTTCCATATATTTCCAAACAATTCTTTCTTACCATAGTGGACCAAGGACATATCAACTCAATGAAAAAAAGCAATGGATTCTATATGAGTTGATTTATGTTACAATTAAATTAGTACAAGCCAAATGAGAACAGCAGCACCAGGACTAAAACAATGGAAAGGCCACTGCTAAAGAACAGGTTCTATCATCTTGTATACTACTATGTAAGAAAAACAAGTTTAAAAAAACAGATTTGCTTAAAACCCAATATAGTTTTGAAAATCAAAAAGCAATTCTTTTGATAGATGCTTAAAAATGCTCATCTTCAATTAACAGAAAGGAAGCATCCCAAATAATGGGCTGGAAACATACTGCTACCACTGCGGGATTTCTCGATGAAAGGACCATGGCTAGGCTCTATATTCTTCCTTTTGTATGTCTTGGTAACCCGGTCCACATCAGGCTGTTTGCGTGTCATTTCCTCCATAAATGTCTGTTAAATACAAAAAATATGAAAAAGAGTTGAGTGTTTTCTTGGTCTAAAATGGCACCAGGCATCTTCTTATTAACAACTTCTTACTAACAAAGGCCAAAGCCCATGGCAGACTGCCCAAGTGACAGAATGCCGCAGTCTGGCTGGGCATGAATAACCTAGCTGCCACAAAGCCTTGTAGGTTCAAACAGCAACTACTTTATTTCAACTCTCACCGCATGCGCGCTTTTTTGCCAACGACACCCACTCGGCGTTCTCCGGGGACACGCCACACACCAACCGGAAATCCCTCCTCCAGCACTTCCCCAACTAATGGGAACTCTCCGGGAATCCCCTCAAGAACTCCAAAGTAGCGGGCTCCCAGGTCAGTAAAGGTCAAATATACAATACAATCAATCCAGCACCACAGCAATTATATATAGCTTAACTCAAATCATCATCTCAATGGTTCGCTGGCGTCAACTTTCAAACATTCCCTCTGGCAAATGCCAGGGGTCATTCTGACCTGCCTGGCTCTCAACAACAGAAGACTTTGCAAACTCTCATTCTCTTTAAAAAATTTGACAGAGCAAGGTACTTTATCAGAGGCTAAAGACCTCAAAGAGGAAGACATAGTCTCTGATTTTGAGTAGCTCACACCGAAGTAACGAAAGCCAAGAATTCAGAGCATTAAATGCCATAAAGGTGTTCAGGAAGACAAGGATGAGTAACTCACAAACTGAGGTGGCAAGGAAATCGCCTAGAGTTTGGGGCCTGAGCAGAGTTACTGAGGAATGAAGAATCAGTCAAAGAATAGGGTGAAGCAGTTCAGTAGAGGGAGCCAGACAGGGCTAGGCCCTTCCATTCATTGGCTGAGCAGAGGAGCAATCAGAGGATTGGCAAGAGGTGGGACTGGAGAGGCAAACAGGATAAAGATCAAAAAAGGCCTTATGGGGGCTGGGGTTGTAGCTCAGTGGTGGAGCACTTGCCTTGGATGCGTGAGGCACTGGGTTCGATCCTCAGCACAACATAAAAATAAAGATATTAAAAAAAAAAAAAAGGCCTTATGTCAGACTAAGGGATAGAATTTTATTCCAGGAGCAATGGAAGACATCTGAAAGATTTTGATCCAGGTGACATAATCAAATCAATGTAGAAGGAAGAGTAATGGGGATAGGGAGTGACTAGTAGTAGGGAGACAGGTTAGGAAATCATTGTAGTAATTGAGGCAAAACATGGTGAGGGCCTTAGTTACGATGGGAAAGACAGCCAAGAAATATTCTGGAAGCAGAACAGACAAGACTAGTAAAAGGCTAGATGTAGGGAGCAGAGGAATGGAAAGAATTCCAGATCCATCACTGGCTTCTGTGCTATGGGACTGGGTGAATGAACAAAGAGGAAGCAGGTTTGGGAGGGGTGGGGTTAAGTAAGGAAGACAAATAAAAAATGGAGTTTCAGAGCTGCCTCTAGTTTACCATATGTCTGTATTTCAGGAGGCAATGATGCTGAAGATGAAAAAAAGATGTAGAAGTCCTTGGCTTAATATGTGATGTCTAAAGCTATTGGACTAGAAAAAAAAAAGCAGTGTGAGAAGAGCACCAATAATAAAACTTAAGGAATACCAAGATTAATAAGCAGGAATAGGAACCAGTCGATGACTTGAGAAGGAATGGTCAGAAAGAGCCAAATATGCCACACATCAAATAAGACAAGGATTGAAAAGCATCCACTTGACTTAGCCAGTAGGACATGCTGGAACTGTGTCAGTGGTCTAATGGGGTGGGAGTCAGACCACAGGGGCCAGTGGAGTGAATGGAAACCAAGGGAAGAAGCTTGGTTGGAGAACAAAACAGGTAACAATGGTGGAAGCACAATGGGATCATGTCTACAGGCTGTGGAGTAAGAGTAAACAGAAAGGCAGAGCTTAAAGACCCAGGGGAGTGAGACTGGCCTTATCTAGGAGGATGACCTTAAAGTCAGCAGGGGAAGTGAGGAAGGTTAACTTCATAGGAAGTATAGAGAGTTCCTACTTGCTAGGGTAGTTATTCACATTAACTAAAAAGATCATGTTGACTAAGAAAAAGTTCAACTAAGCAAGAACCATGCTTACATTCAGTCTAAATTATCACAGTTATAAGCCTTATTTGCCTAAGGATATATTAGGAATAAAGCTCAACTGAGCTTTCCTTCTTTTGGTTTCTTACGTGTTAGCCCCTCCTCTCTGGATTCTGGCAAAAGCTCTTTCCAAACCCAGGTATAATAGGGATAGGCCAGTGAGTCCTTGGCTGCAATGAAGGCCAGACTTCTAAGCTGGCCCCCAAGGATCCTACTGCTGGTATATATGCCCTGGGTAATTCCCTTCCCGTGAGTGTGGGCAATGCCTGTGATAATGATGGAACAGTCATCATTTTATTTCATTACATAAGACACTTCAAGGGAAAGTTTCTCCTGCTGGCTTTGAAAACACACTGAAGGCAGCCTCTAGGAGCTGAAAGCCAGCAAGATGGAGACCTCAGTTCTACAACTGTAAAGAAGTGAATGAGCCTGGAAAAGGATCCCATACTCCAGATGAGAACTGTAGTATTGGCTGACACCTCGATTTCAGATGAGACCCCCAAAAAGATGATTCAGCTAATGCAAGCTTGGAGTCCCAATCCACAGAAACTGTGAGGTAAGACTGTTGTTTTAAGCTGCTAAATTTGCAGTAACATGTGAAGCAGCAATTAAAAAATGACTACACAGGGCAAAGGAAATGGGCTCCAAAACTACACAGAAAACGCCAGTAAAGTAAGATACCTGATGCTCAGCAATAAGGGATTTAACTCGGTCGATGTTCTGAGGGACTGGCTCCTGATCTCGCTGTATAAGGGTGGTTTCAGCCCACTGGATCCATGCCAGTAGTTCTTCTAGGAGCTCAGCATTAGCTACCAGTTCTGACAGTGCTGTTTCCAGACGCTGCTGGTGCTGCTTAGCCCATGTCAGGACCTGTGGAGAAAGAAGGCAACCATAGCCTTTTTTATTAAACACATCCCTTTGTCTCAAAGCATCTTTTCATCTTATCTGCAAAATGACTTTTTAGGGGAGATACCATGCAAGCCAGTCAAGATTCCTCTCTTACCCCAGTGAGAAAGCTTGGCTAAGAGCTGGGATAGGCAGGCAGTTCTCCTGAAAGCAGACCTAGTACATGATATTAAACACAGGACTTCTCAGCAAGGAGGGAGCAACATACACCGTGTCCATCAGAAGGCACTAACAAGTACATCATTACATCAGCACTATTCTTCCAGACTGCTGCACATTGCCAAGAAGTCTTTACTAAAAAGTTAATTTTTGTTGAGATATTCACACTGAATGAAAGATTACTTACCTGAGGGAAAAAGAAAACAAAGCTCCACAGTATGTTATCACTATCATTCCATTTTCTTGGGTGCACAGTGACTCACCTCCTCAAAGCGAGCTCGGATGATAGTGATCCAATGTTTGATGGTGGTAATGCAATCGGGATGGCAGACAGCCAGGATGACTTCTCCCATGGCTACCGCTGCATTAACATCAACGCGCTTTTCTTCCACTTTCTTCATGAATTCCTAAACAAGATTGAAAAATAAGAACTTAAATGTATCCACGATTAATTAATATTGAGAGGTGAAAGAAATTTCATTTTTTTTTTCCTGATGTTTTAACAGGTCTCTAAAAACCTGTATATAGGTATGTCTAGCTTTTTTTTTTTTTTAAATGGTACGAAGGACTGAACCCAGGGGAGCTCTACCACTGAGCCACATTCCCAGCCCTTTTTATTTTTCATTTTGAGATAGGGTCTTGCTAAGTTGCTGAGGCTGGCCTTGATTTTGCAATCCTCCTGCCTTAGCCTCCTGAGCTGTTGGGATTACAGGCATGTGCCACCACAATTGGTGTCTCTGGTCCTCCCCCCGCCCCCTGCCACAATCAATTTTATTAATTCAGAATACAAAACTCTTTAAGAATGGTCTGACTGCTGCCTTCCTCTTCACCCTTATGGTACCAATTCAGTCTCTCATTTAGTAGGTTTCACCCACTTGTCCCTGCATCACACACCCAAGTATGTACTAAATCTGTTTCTACCTCATGACCTTCAAGCCTATTATTCTGTTGTCTTGCCTTTTCTTTCTAGTTCTCAAAGATGTTGGAAGGTGAGAGGTATCTCCTTTTACCCTAAGTGTCTTGCTCTGCTAGAGATGATGATAAAGCCTAAGGACACAGTGGTATGGCCTTTTTCCTATTCTGAATTAGTTTCTTTTTAAATCTTACTTTCTTTCATTTCCACATTTATGAACATATCTGTTTTAGAAAAACATAAAGAGCTATAAAACACTATAATTTTTTAAAAAAATTATAGGTGGGCACAATATCTTTACCTTATCTTTATGTGGTGCTAAGGATCAAACCCAGTGCCTCACACATGTAGGTGAACGCTCCACCACTGAGCCACAACCCCAGCTCAAAAACAATATTTAAAAAAAAAAAAAAAAATCACAATACAATGAGAAAACCAAGATTAAAATCTTGGGGTAGGTAACATGAAAATTAAAAAAGGAAACACTTCCCACCTCATTAGAGCAGACTGAGGCCCCAGACACTAATTACTCTATAGCTTGGTAAGCAATTCTGGGGGATCAGACTAGGACCCATAGCTAGTAACATAATAGTTAAGAAAAGGAGAATGCAGGGAAAAAGAGGAACAATTCACATTTTCTTTATATAATACTATTGTGTTTTATTTGTTTATAACCAACATGAATCACTCTTGTAAAAATGAACAGTTACTTCTCTTTCTTTCCTACTAAACCAATGAGCTGAACTCTTCCAGTTTTGTTCTTTCTCACATAATGGATGATATATGCAAGCAAATGCTGTTTTCTAAGTGGTGGGGCAGCCCTCACTGGGTGGACAGCACAGGTCACCGAACCTGAGGGCTGGATTACCTTATGAGTGTCAATGAGTGATTGCAGGGCCTCTGTGTCATCGGGAAGAGCCCCTCGAAAGCGAAGAGTTTGCTCTGCTTCAGAAAGCCACTCCAACAGCATGTGGACTGTGTCCCGAAACTCCTCTGCCTGAAATAACAAGCACAAAAGATTGGAACGCTTTTTGCAGCCAAGCTCCTGGTCACTGGGCATGCCAAGGGAAAGGTCAGGGACTCAATTCTTTAGGATAACATAGGCACTTTTGTCCCCATCAGCCTCCACAAAGGTTATCTTTCATTTGTAGATCTTGAAAACCTTACCTGTTTTAAAGCCTGCTCAAGTCGGCTTTGCTTGGAAACAGACAGTTTACAGACAGTGTCCCAGCGAGTGCTAAGTTCTTGGAGCTGTCCTTTTACCCAAGTGGTGTCATCTCGACTATTCTCAATCAGTTCTCTGCCTGACCGCTTCAAGACCTGAACAGTTCCTGTTCGTTTTCCCAGTTCCTTCTGAAAAACCTAGAAAAGAAGATAGGACAAACGTTTTGAGAAACGTTTTGAGTCTAAGGAGCAAAACACTGAGAAAGTAGTTATTCATCTGGTGGGTTCTAATCTTTTTTTATGCACAGAAGAGGAAAAATGATGTGTAGAAAAATCACCAGAAGACATGGTTCTATGAAAGTCAGTTCAGGAATTTATAAGCTGTGTGACTTTGGATAAGGTAGTTAACTTGAGTCCCAGTTTTATCTTCTATATAATGGAAATAATTATATTAACTTTCCAGAATTATGGCAGATAAAAAGGAATACAACTACAGTGCATAGAATAAATTTTATATAAATTCAAAGTAGAGTTCAATGCTTTGTAGTTAAAAAGGAGGACAGTATGCAGTTCAAAATGACAGGTTATAATAAATAGTGGTGTGCATGATATTAGACTTGTGTTTTGAATGGTTTTAAACCATTCAAAAACGGTTTTAAAAAAATCTCTCCCATCGCCATATTAGGTTATCAGTGAAAAGAATATTTTAAGGGTTTCCTTCTGAATTTAAATTCATTTTGTGACTCAACTGAGAGACAAACAGAAAGAGGGAGAATTTCAAAGTGGAGTTTACATATTGCCAACTCTGAATCAAACCAATTTTGGTAAATTCTTTATGAATGATGCAGAATCCAGCCAAAGTTTGTTTAAACACAGAAAACGAGGAGATGCCTCTTAGCAAAGATACAGGCTGTTAGGCTTTTTCTCCCTTAGATGGTTAACACAGGGCAAAGGTACCCACAGACCCTATGATTTTGCCTTCTCTGAGGCCCAAATCTTGTCCCTCACCTTATGGGCATCCATAAGATTCATAACAAGGTCGAGGTCCCCATGTACAGGCTGGTCCTCAGCCAGCTGTGGCTCTACCTTATATAACCAGTCAACCAAGGCCTGCAAAGCATCCATGAACTGGCCTGAAAACAGCAGGGCTTCCTCCAACTTGTGTTGCCTGAAAAAAGCACACAAATTCCACTGTTTTTATGATCCTTTTAATGGATGACTTATAATTCTGACTTCCTGAAAAGGAAAATTGCTTGAACTCTATATAGTGAATTCCATGTGAGAATAGTTAGAATAAAAAGTGACTAAGAGAAGTGCCTACACACTTTTAATCAAACTACTCTTTAGAGTGCAAGGGATAGGTATGGATACGCTTTGTAAATCTTGTAGTCCAATGATACAAGGATACACCTTAATAATCCAAGGTCTGTTGTTAATTACTTTCTAGTACTCCAAGCAGAGAATGAGCATTTGGGTAATGGTCTAGAGTCAGGAGTTCAACTCCTAGCCCTATGCTAGTTGTGTGACCTTTTTTTCATCAAAAAAGTACAAATAGTTCAGACATCTTGTAATATTTAGCACAGCATAATGGGTAGGAGAGGATAAAAGTACAACTTTGAGAACTAAATTGTAGGTTCAAATCCCAGGTCAGCCCCTTAGCTGAGTGACCTTGGTGGAGTTAAGAAACCTCACTGTGGGGGCTGGGATTGTGGCTCAGAGGTAGAGCGCTTGACTAGCATGGGCGGGACCCGGGTTCGATCCTCAGCACCATATAAAAATAAAGGCATTGTGTTGTGTCCAGCTACACCTAAAAAAATAAATATTAAAAAAAAAAAAAAAATATATATATATATATATATATAAAAGAAACTTCACTGTGATCGTTTCCTCATCTGTAAAAATGATAACAATAATAGTACACACCTTGCTGATTCTGATGAGGATTGATGATTAGTAGGCACTGTTGGGCACACATTCAGTAATAACTGATTAGGAAAGATCAGGTATTATGGTTGAATATATGTAGAGGCTTTGCACAGTGTTTGACACTGAGAATGCGAATAAGACAGGTATTGGTATTTTAAATTAGTGATTTACAAATATTTGGCTTAATTTTCATGGGCCTCTCCCTTATTAATACAGCAAAATTCAAGTTTAAAACATGAGTGTTTTAATACATTGTATTCAAATTCCTTCATAATTCTTTGAATTCAATACTGATGCATTAGGTTTGTCACTATTTTAATCTACTAATAGATTCTTCAGCTACTTCTGACACGATGTACAGACCCTTGAAGGGGATATTTAATGCTCACCGCTCCACAGACTTGCCACAAACAGTATCCCATTTGTCTCTGACTTCTCCCAACAAGTTGTCAAGTTTTTGAGTATCATCTGCAAGCAATGTCTTCTCTTTCAGTGCTCTGCCAGTCCTAATTGTTGTATCATATACAGGCTGTTTGCCACCAAGAGTTTTCTGAAACTCCTGTTTCCGGAAAGCAAAAGTGTGGCAAAAATCAGATCACAGCACAAGGCCCTCAATTCAATCCCCAGAACCCAAACAAACAAAAACAACAGATGATATCTTGATTTGGAACAAAAAAATTTTTTTTGAATTTTCAGATTAGAAGCCAAAAATAGTATCAAAAAAACTAAAGTACACTAAAATTAACAATAAATAGCTTATCATTAAGAAATTTAATATTTTTTGTTATGGCACATACAGCAAGCAGTGCATGGCAATTTCCAAAAGCCTACAGTGTTGGCTGGTTGCTTTCATAACCACTTCACTGTTATTTAAAAGAGCAAATGTCATGGTTAAATAGTGTCTAGATATAAAATGGACCCTTGGCTGGGGCTGCAGCTCAGTAGTAGAGCACTTATCTATCATCAGTAAGGTACTGGATTAGATCCCCAGCACTGGGGTTAAAGGGTTGGGTAGGGGAGGGAAAGGAACCCTGGCTTCATCATCTTGACTTTTTTTAACATTAACCAATTGCCCCCAACCCCCACAAGACGGGGCCTTGCTAAGTTGCCTTGAACTTGGGATCCTTCTGCCTCAGCCTTTTGGGTCACTGGGATCATAGGCATGTGCCAACATGCCTGGTTATCTTTGGTTTTTAATTAGCTCTGATTTCTATTTTTAGCAAGCTAGCTCAGGACCTAGCAACAATTAACTTCTTTACCTTATGCTTAGAAAGTTGGAGTTTAATTTTGTCTGGGTCATTTGATATTTCCAGTTCAGAGTCCAGGTGACTTTCTGCATCTTCTAGCCAGTCAATCAGTTTTTTCCAAGCTTCATGGAACTAAAATTATAATAAATAAATTCCAATAGGAATGAATATGAAAACTGTACAATTTATTTTAAGAACAATTCCAGAGATACAACATATGCAGCATAAGGTTGTTCAATAAGTTTATGTCTTTCTTTGATAACTTACTTGTTTTGCTCGCTTCCTAGCATCATCTAGTGATCGCCCTCTTTCAATAGATCGCTGGACAACCTTCTCCCACCGAGACTGGACGCTAACCAACAAATTCTTAATGAGAACAACATCTTGTTTTTGGCTAAGGAACTTTAACTGATTTCCGGTTTGATCCAGCTCAATGATCTGGTCTCGATGAGCATTAACTTCATTAGCAAAAACCTGAGGAAACAATGTTGCTTTTTAAACTTGAAATAAGATAAAGGAGTATTCCTTTCAACTAGTTCCTTCCAAAGGATGGCAATATCATGAATCATAGTTACCTTATGCTCTTCAATCTGGGAAAGGACGGTGTTTAGAATCAGGCTGGGGGGAGAAGCAATGTTTAAACTCTGTTCTGCTAGAGTGAGCCAGTTGATAAACTCTTGTAGGGAATTCTGGAATTCTGTTGCCAGGTTGAGGGCCTCTTCCAGCTTTGACTGAATTTTAAAACACACACACACAAAATGCCAAATCAAGAATTACAGTTTGAACAACAAAGGTATGAATTGTATGCCTCTAAATAGGAAGTCTCATTTAATTAACCTAAAAACACACAAAGTCTGTAAAGAAGGGGACATTTTAATGTTAGTGTCTGAAACTAAAACAACTGAACAAGCAGTGTACACATGGAAAAGGAACGAGCAAAATTAGCAAGCCAAGTTCCTTTCCTAGATACTCTCCCATTCCTGGGGCATTTAAGAAGAGAAGTAGCTGGGTGCGGTGGTGCACGCCTGTAATCCCAGCAGCTTGGGAGGCTGAGACAGGAGAATGGTGAGTTCAAAGCCAGACTGAGTCACTGAGCAACTCAGTGAGACCCTGTCTCTAAATAAAATACACAATAGGGCTGGGGATGTGGCTCAGTGGTTGAGTGCCCCTGAGTTCAATCCCTGGTACCAAAAAAAAAAAAGTAGTAAAACTGTTTAATAAAGTAAGTGAATAGACCCTTTTGGGATGACAGCTATAGGACCTGTAACCTGCTTTGGGCAAAAATCTTGGTTTCTTTTAATATATCTTTGTGATGTAAAGAATAACTAACTGAAAAGTACATTACTATCAACATGATGTGTGCTATAGCGTTCTCTGTTTAAATGTGCATTTCCAGAAGACACAACACTTGAAATGCCTGAGTCTTATATCTTATGCCACAAGCAGAAAAGGTAACAAAAAAATGACAGACATTCTCGGCAAAAGTTTAATAATACCGGTTGTTGGGTTTGAACCCAAGGCCTCTCGCATGCTAGGCATGACCTCCTTCAGAGCCACACCACTAACCCCATGTAACCTAAATCAGAATGGTAAAAGCAGTGGCTCCTTAAGGGCAAGTGCTACTGTCCGTAAGTACACCTTAATTCCAGAGTTCACAAGCTCATCCTGAGGGACCTCTACCTACAACATCTTAGTGATTGCTTCTGACTATGGACCACCTACCAGGTAGGCAAAGGAAAATAAAAATAGGCTACTAAAAAATGAATATATTAAAAAAAAAAAAAGAATATGTCCAGAATTTTTTAAAAATGAGTATTTTAGGGCTGAGAATGTGGCTCAGGGATAGTGTGCTTGCCTAGCATGCATAAAGCTCTGGCTTCAATCCCTAGCCCCCCCACCCCCGACACACACGCAGTTTCACAAAGAAACCCCAAGATGTGCACTAAAAATGTCTAGCTGCTTTTCATCTTTATGCCTCCAAGTTACTTCTGTAAACTCAAAAAACCAAAAAGTTAAAAATTAATGTTATAAAAAATGTACAGGGTTGAGAGTATAGCTCAATGGTAGAATACTTGGCTAACGTGAGAGACCCTGGGTTCCATTCCTAGCAACACACACACACACATACACACAGAGCAAACAAGTGGAAAATAAAGTATACCTCAAATCTATCATAGAAAAGTTTAGAAATTAATATACTATTATAAGTTCCTAGGCAACAGGAATTCTTAACCATTGTTAAATCTATGTATTTCTTAATATAGTAAACATTTAATAAGTGATTTTATTAATTCTGAAATGTAATGTTCCTATAAAATCAGAGATTAGAATCCTTGACATCTGGCTTTGCTTATCAATTGTGATGATGGGAACTATGTAAGTTTTGAGGCAGTTTCCTCCACTATAAGAAAACTTCCTGAGTAGGAGCCAGAATTTGCCTCAGTTTATTTATTCTCAGTTCTGTCGTCTGCAGGAACTACAGATGAGAGTCTGTGCAAAGACTGGAACACAGCCATGCATTCAAGTCTTTTGGCCATACCTCATATCACAATATTACCCACCTCATACTATAAGGATTCTATGAAATTAATGCTTCTCTCAAAAATGCTCATATCAGTTTTATGTCCTTCTGCCCATTAATTTCATAACGATAGGGTCCGTTTGTTTACTGTTTCCACTATAAACCTAGCAGAGCCCAGTACACACTTGTTCAGTAACTATTTATTGAGTGAACATGACCATTAGGTTTGTATGCGTATTTCACACTGGATTTGACAAGCAAAGAACAGAATGAAGCTCTGTACCCATAAAAAACAATCTTTTTGGACGAATGTCTTGACCCCTGATGACCTTTCTATTATACAGAAAATAACTGAATTTCTGAGGAATAGTGGAAAGAGGTCACTAATTTTTAGTAAATTTTCTTGCATGGAGAATTGTTAGTCACACTTCTTACATACTTGTTCTAATCCCAACCCCAACAAAACCTTGTTTTTAAGCAGGGATGCAGATCAGAGATTAATATGGGAGGGATTATTACTAAACAGCCATAGTCATTAATGTCTTAAACTGGTAGATGGAGAAAAGGAATGATTAATTGTAAAAGCAAATTTCAGTAGAAACTAGAATTATTGATACAGATAGAAAACAAATAGACAAGATAGCTTGATTATTTAAAGCCAATTCTAAGGGTATCAGTTCTGTAACCTCTGTTATATTAGTCTTTGAAAAATCTTTAGAAACAAGATGGTAATTACATGCAGTCACCAAGCAAACTGCTCAAACATAGGGTTTTGTGGGAATACCTTTCTTTCTTCCATCTTACTGCTGACTACATGCCACTTCTGTTCCAAAAGAGCTACACTCTGTTCCGTCTTTGAGCCAGACCCAGAGTCATCGCGGCTCAGAAGCATGAGCCTGCCTTTGTCAAGTAGCTGATTGTAAGTCTCTTCTTTGGCTTTCAGCTGGGAGTAGAGTTCCTATGAGAAAAGGCAGTAAAGATATCAATACCTGTCCCCTCAAAAACACCCACATACAGATTCATAAACATAACCTGGAAAAGTCAAAGAAGCTCTCATCTAGACTAAAAAGCTTCTCATAGATTTCATTCAACTGCCGAATTGGTAGGGAATAGAACTCACCATTCTTCATTTATACTAAAATAACTCTGTCACTATATAAATAGAAGAAAAAAGTTGTTTCTTTTTAGGATCAAAGATAACAAAACTATTCCTCAATAACTTATTTCCCTTTTCAATAAAGAATTTGCATAGAAATAATGTTGTCTTTTGTTTTAAGCCCAATTTCTTGAAATACTATCAGAATTTCTGATTTCCCTAACTCCACTGAGCAGTTTTCTTTAATACAAACAGATTTATGCTATGTATTTGTAACCCCCCCCCATCCAGTGCTGGGGATCAAACCCAGGGTCTCACACATGCCAAGCAAGTGCTCTACCACTGGGCTATACCCCCAGCCCTCATATTTGTCTTCTTGATGCTCCCATTTTCTAGTCAATATTCTTGTACCAACCAAGCAGTCCAACTCAAAATCTACAAGCTCAATGACATATTTCCAGCTTATTCTTCCCTGATAGTACTGCTCCCCACAGTAGGGTATTAAAATCTGTAAATAAGCAGTTAATGCTCAAGGTTATTCTACGTTGTTGGTAAAAATTCACTACTTTGTAGATTCCCAGATATATACACCTCAGAAAGTAGCTATTAAATGTGGGATACTTATTCTCAGTTTAAAGAAGTTGCTATTACCATATGTGTATCAAGCTGTTCCCTAGCAGTTTCAGGAAGTCCTCCAGTAGGTTTAGATGCAGAAAGTTGGCTCTCCATTCTAGTCAATTCCAAGAGGAAATCTTCAATTTCACTGTGGAAACCCTGGGCCTTTTGAAAAAAAGAATAATCAGTGATGTCAGTAGTCAATTCTCAGCTTCACAAGTAAACTTTCTCAATAATCCCATGAGGAATGTTATTATGAGGAAGGAATTAGGAACTGTACACAGCCAGAGTTGTTCTGTTGTACTACTGGTATAATCTATTTGTTTATTGTTAGAATCTAGCAGAATCCTTCAAACCTCACTGTAACATAGTATAGATGTCTGATATAATCTGATGAATGGATTACTTGACCAAGGAACTGCTGCCCAGGGAGGGACCTGACTAGATCCAGAGAAAAAACAGAATCTGTGAACAAGCAGGGGCTACATGAAGATCTACTAATTCTGAATAGTAAATAGATAGAGCTACACACAAACACAAAAAAGAACCACCTAATCAAAGCTACTCTTCTCGGACAAGTTTCAACAAGACACCAAGTGGTATCTTCTCCAGGTTGGTGTCCTCTACACAGCAATTCCTATCTACCTTGGATAATGCACATACCTGCTGTAGTGTTGACTGGAGCTGCTGCTCCCTCTCCTCTGTTTTCTGCAGCACTGATTCCCAGCACTGGTTCATAGTTTCCAAGCGGCTCCTTAAGCTGCTGGCATCGTCTCCAGCACTTGATTCAAGGAGCTCATTGCCAGCTTTGTTGACTGTTTCTACTGTAGCTTGATGAGCCAAAACATCATTTTTCAGAACCTAAAAAAACATAGAATAGCATAATGTAGCTCTATAACTATCATTAAATCATCAAAAATCTTCTGTGAGCAATATATTACCAAGCCAACAGAATTAGAGATGAAAAATGAAAATACTTACATGGTGCTTTGCAAGTTCAACTTCAATGACTTTTGGGTCTCCACTTATTGGTCTCTGAGCATCTAGCAACTCTTCAGTGTGAGTCAGCCAACTCATTAGTTCCTCTAAGGCATGTTGGAATTGGCCAAGGGCCAAGAGAGCACCTTCTAGCTTATGCTGCTCGGAACAAGACAGAAAAGGAACATTTGTTAGGGAATTAAAAAGGAGCTCAGAACATTTCATTCATGTATTCTACCACTCGCCTTACCTGTCTGTGGGCAATTTTCTCACCCAGGTTCTCCCAGAGGTGTTTGAGTTCTGTCAGTGGTTCGCGTATAATGTCTCTGTCTGTTTCATCAGTAGCTTTCTTTAACATCAATTCACCCTGGTGATTGAGCTTCTCCATCTCAATTTGCTGCTGATAAACTTCCACTTTGAACTCCTATCAGAGATGTACCAGGTGTTAATATCAAACCAAGCCTTTAAAAGCTGAAAAGAAGCACCTCTTCTTCCAAAGTCCTCTCCAGATACAAACCTTCATCTCATTTAACTGATCTTTAACAGTGTTGAGGTCAGTGCCAACAGGGGGCATGGTGCAGAGTTTGATCACAGTGTTATCCAGCCAGTCATACATAGCCTAAAATAAAAATACAAATATAGAAAACAAAAGTGAAAAAAAATATACAGGGTCGGGAGAGAATTAGCATTATTCTTGCTAATACTATGCTTCATGATACCCTGGGTATGGACTTCCAGCAAGCAATAACTTTCACGATAAGGCCAATTTCATTGTGCAGGTGAAAGACTATAAACAGGAAAGCATGCAATGATGATAAAAATGGCTAAAGGAGCAGCAACAGCCTGTGCCAGTGCTTTTTCCAGTAGAAGTGGGAGTCTCTGGCTAGAAACATGAAACCAGCATTGTCTTCAGTGAGAACCCCATGAAGGTGATTCACTCTTGTGCTGAATTCAGAAAATGACCAAGGAACCTGTGTTTCCTAAGTGGTCACCTCCCGGCCTCTTACCTGAAGAGTGTCCTGATATTGCACAGCAGCTTGCATGGCATCCTCAAGTTTTTCTAGCCTCTCTTTCCATGTTTTGTTTAAGTTTTCCCAAGCATTGTTCATCTAGAAGAAAAACATCCAATCAGATTCTTTAAGTAATATCACTCTCCATCTGAATACACTAATGTTTCATCTGAACTCCTCATTTGTTTTCCACACCTCATCAATGCTCTTCTTCACTTCAGGCTTCTCAGTTTCTCCACAGGCAAAAATTAAATCTGCTCCAAGGATTCGAATGAACTCCAGCTCCTCATGCAGACCATCTGTCTCCTCCTTAATAGTCTACATGTAAAGGTATAATAGAACATGAGCCAAAGGTGAAAGCAGAACAGAATTTCTCAAACTTTGTACATGCTCCGTCAAGAGCACACAATGAATAGAACTGTCAATCTCAAAGGTTTTAAGTCCTCTTAATATTTTGTTTATCCGGAGAGTACAGTTTAGACTCCAAAATATATATCAAATATACATTATAGCCAGGCACGGTGGTGCACACCTGTAATCCCAGAGCATGCGAGGCTGAGACAGGAAGATTGCGAGTTCAAAGCCAGCCTCAATGACTTAGCAAGGCCCTAAGCAACTCAGCGAGAATCTTTCTCTAAATACAAAAAAGGGCTGGGGATGTGGCTCAATGTTAAAGCATCCCTGGGTTCAATTCCCAGTACCAAAAACAAACACACAAACACAACAAATCTACATAACACAATGACACAATGAGCATGCAATGATGGTAAAAATGGCAGCAGAAATTCGGACAGTATGGGAAAGTTGTAATAAGCTTCAATAATTTTACAAATGGTTCATCCCTTCATGCCTCCAAGGAGATTACAATCTATAGCCAGAAGTCTATTACGGAGAAGTAAATGAATAAGGTGAAATAATGTAGCATAAATCACAAAGTCAGCACTAACAGACCAGCATAACAGGAGTGCTAGGCTATATAATTTTGAAGAAAGTCAGTGCTATGCCGGATCGTAAAGTGTGGTTCATGGACTGACATTGACAGGGGCGAGGAAACAAATAGTTTTGATATGGAAAAATATCAGGGTAGGATTGGCTTATGGAAACTGGATAAAATAAGGTGGAAAGCATTTTTTAGTAAAAACTAGACTCTGCAAAAGGACTAGAAAGTCAATTGTTACCTATGGATGATGGGTCCCAAACTAGGAAATTTTCTTTCCTACTATTTAATTTTTTACATTAAAGAAATTGAGTAGTTTTTTTCCCTGGTGGAAAAAAAAAAAGCCTTAAACACACACACACACACACACAATTTCAAGGCACTTAACATGGCTAACAGTTGGCATAACCTGCTTGGATAGAATGCTTTGCTGGAGGACACACACACAAAAGGGGCTTTGTTTTCTTCTTACCTCGGCAGCTTCAACCTGTTGCTTGATGATGGATGGGTCAATGCCTGGGCTTTCCAAGTCATGGACAATGTCCTGAGTGTCTCTGATGGTGGTCAGGAGAGCTGCCATGTCATACCAGAACTTCTCCGCTAATTCAAGGACATCAAGGAATTTAATTTCTCGCTCTTCAGCCCGAGCTTTGATGTCTTCCCAGAAGAATACCATTTGGTCCAGTTTGTCCTGGATTTCTGAGTGGGTAAAGAAGAGATGTGAAAACAGGAGTTCTTGGAGTACTTAAAATCAATCTCATCAGAAATTCTGACATTTTCAGTGAAACTATCTTTAAAAATTCTCTTAAAATGTATAAATGATGGACAGTTTTCTATTTTAGCTTTATTATTATTTCTACTTTCATATTTTCTGCCCATGTTGGTCTCCCCCATAAAGGGGCCACAGAAGTAATATGGAAATCTCTAATATAAAGGTACTACTAAGATAAAACCCCCTAATTTACAAAGGGGCTGTGATGGAAACTCTACTTCCAGTGTTCTGTGTTCAACTTGTTTATTTCCCATGGAAAATGTATAAAAAGTAGTTATGTTCTACCCACTATTGATACTGTAGTTTACTCACATTAGGGGTTAAAGGAGGATTTGTTTTCTGGCCTGGGAATCTAACTACCAATTGTAACCTTATTTCAATGGGGAAACATGTTCTGAATTCTAAATGACTTCCAAACGACTTTTTAGAATACTCATTATTTGGGGACTGTCTTTACATTCAATGCAATACATCTGGTAGGATGCTAGAGATAACCTCAGCTTGAAATTTATTCTGTTGACTTTCTTTAAAAATAAAAAGATCCAACAAGCACCTTTTGCAGCCAAATCCTTGTCTGCTCCCTGAGATCGCCCAATGAGCTCTTCTCCACGGCGCTTTAGGGCCTCAAAGGATGGCTGAAGTTTTTCTAGCTCCACGGTGGCACTCTTATTGTCACTGATGCACTCTCTGATCTTGTCTACTTCAGCAGGAATCAGGGGTGGCATTCGCAGGCGAGAGGAAAGATTCTCCAGAGTCTCCAACATGGGCTCAATTTTATCATGGAACTAAATAAAGTTGGAATATTAGCCATCACTAGTAACTTATCATACTTTTTGGGGAAATATTGGGAATAAGGAGTAGATATAAATCTGTGTTCAGTTTAGCCCAATGGCTGTTAAAGTTTTGGGTTTGGCCAATAGATCATTTTGGGCATAGTACACCAGAAACTGGGCTATTGGGGTCGGGGGGAAAGGCAATATTTATTTGAGTCAAAAGATATTAAGTAATATGCCAGAAATCAACTCAAATTATTAGTGTTGTCATAAAACTTTTCCTATTCCAACTAATACAATGAGAAAGGAACAAGACTATGAAACTGGTGAGAGTCAGTATGTCAACATCTCAGATGACAGTTGCATGCAACACACCAGACCAACAAGTTAGATGCCCTCCACCAGCTGTGTAAATGGATGAGGAACTTAATATGGTACATGACTTGGAATTTAAAAGCATACAATTTGACAACTCACCGTACATAACAGTGAGAGAGGGAAATGTTGGCATGAGAAAGGGCAAATCTAACCTCATTCTAAAAGAACAATTACCTTTCCACATTTCTGGTACTCTGAATAACATGACTATAAGTATAAAATTCTCATTTTATAATCTGAGGCAGAAAGTGAAGAAAACAGATAAGCTTGCCTCCTAAAAAAACCATCTAAAACTAACTCTGGATTCATTCATTAGCGTCTTATCAATTTTAAGTTTCGAACAGGAAAAGCAGATTTCCTTAATAAAATCACTTCCCATCACTCCCTCACATCTAGATTCCACCCCAAACAAAACAGGCATAATAATAATCAATTTTCTTCCACTAAACTTCATGGAAATTTCTTTATAGTTAATGCCTTTGATTTTTAGCTTTATAAAAATACACTAACCCCAAGGGGATGGGTACCTTACCTCTGTAATCTGTAATGGTGGGCGCGGTCAACACAACAATGAAATGTGACGATGTGGGGAAGACAGGAGCAGGCAGCAACAACACAAAGTAACACATTCCACAATGTGAGTGAGAGATGGGACGGGAGGTGGGGGGGAAAAACTTAAGTAAGTACAAATATTAACCAAGAATACTGACTAAACATAGGAATAAAATACCCAGACATGACAAAAGTATCACTAACAGTAATATATTAGTTGAAAAGTATGTAGTTACATGCTTTAAATTCCTCTCCAATGCTTCTCTTTGGCTACTTCTCCCTACTACAACATCTTTCTCTGAAATAGGATGCAACTAACTTCCTGAATAAGAAAGCTAATATATTGTCATTCTAAATATCAAAAGTAACAGGTCCAGCAGGAACCTGACTTTTGTTGAGGCAGTCATTGCTTTTGGCTCTCAAAGATATCTAAAATCATCCCTGCTAAAGGATCTTTATTACATAAAAAGTTTCAGGGAAACTATCAAAAGACAATTGTATACATCAGTCAAAATGTATTTTACACTCCAATAGTATCAGTATGCCAAAGTTTCTTGGAAGAAAAGGCAGTAGGCCTTATGGATAATGTATTATCAACATGCTGGTCTGGCATTCCTGTGCAAAGAGGCATACCTGACACTGAGATCTTCTGCTTAGACTAGCAGAGAGTTGAAGGTTTTAGGAGTGTAAGACACACACATACCTGAGCAGACTGGGAAACAGCCTCATCCAGAGCCAATGCCCGTTGGCGCACCTCCTCTTTTATTTGGGCATACATGTTTTCTGCTTTCTGGTATTTTTCTTCCACCATTTTCCCTTCCTCTGGGTTTAACTCCTTTAGTTGTGGGCCAATCTTTAATAGCTTATCAATATGAGGTTTGTGTTCAGCAATGGATTCCCTTAGTTGCTACAGAAAGAAATGTAGATTAAAACCATAATGGATGGGACTGGGGTTGTAGCTAAGTTATAGAGTGCTTGCCTAGCACATAGGAGGCACTGGGTTTGATCCTCAGCACCATATTTAAAGAAAAAAAAAAAAAAAAAAAAAAGGTAATGAATGGAATTGATTTTCATGCCTGTATGAGTTTATAGGAATGAACCTAACTACTATGTATAACCATAAAGCTCTAATAACACAAGCCAAAAAACATAATGAATGGGGCTGAGGGTATGGCTCAGTGGTACAGCACATGTTTAGCATGTATGAAGCTCTGGGTTTGAGCCCCAGCATCACAAAAAACAAAACTGAAATGTTAAAAAATCAGCAAGTCCTAGTATCTCTCCATTTATGGGGAAATAGAACAACACCTAAATCTTGGGCTCTGAAACTACCTAATTCTCTTAATTTTCAAAAGCCAGTTCAGATGTTTCATTTCCTTGGAAGTCTTTCTGGATACATCATGTCTCAATCTTCCCTGTCACTTGCATTATACCAATTTATCTCACCCTCTTCTTTACTCATAAATACTTCTATGTACTATAATTTACATATCTGTCTCCCACCCAGACAGAGATACCAAACAGGATGAACTATGAACAGCAACAATTCTGATAGTTCAATCACTCCTTGACTTTACTGCTGGCTGCTTCTAGTTTACATTTTCCACTTATAGGAATATAGAAATAGTAATAAACACAAGCCAGAAGTAAACATTTTTAAAAAAGCATTTTCACCCTTTTTATTTTTTTGTGGTGCTAGGGATTGAAACTAAGGCCTTGTGCATGTGAGGCAAGCACTCTACCAACTGAGTTATATCCTAGCTGCCCCCTCCCCCCAAAGCACTTTAATGGTAATACTGTTAGTTGAAATGTCTATAAACTTCCCTTTCATCTTAACTATATATATGCAGCAAATGCTTTGACATTCCTTTATGAGCTCACTCTAGTTGATGCTTAACCAAGCGGAAAGAGCCATCCAACCACATGTAGTCTAACAACACCCTATCATCCTCAAAAATATTTTTTTGTTGTTTTTGAATAAATTATAGAACCCATTTTCATTCTGCAATAAAATAAAATTTGGCATGCTCCTTACCCTCATTTCTTCTTGCTGTTGCCTGAGCTGCTCATGATCAATAGCTGGAGGAGGTAACTGTGCTATTAATGCCCGAGTTTCCTCAATCCAAGGGCTGAGTTCTTCGTAAGTTTCCCAAAACTGGTTCACCAAGACCTGTGCCCGCTCTAGGCGGGCATAACGCTCTGAATTGAGTAGGCTAATAGCTTCATACTGCTGTATTAGAGACTCTGTTTTTTCCTATGAACCAGAAATAAAAAATAAAAAGAATTATTATGAACTCTTATGAGAAAAGAAATGCAAGTATATTTACCTTAAAAAGTCTAAAGGAATGCATATTAAATTATTAACTAATGTAATGAGTTACAAATGATTATTTTTCTTATAACTCAGCTACAATTTTTCCCCCTTTTTATTGGTACCTAACAACTACATACAACAGCAAGATTCATTGTTAGATATTTTTATATACACACAGTATAACCAATCAACACAGCATAATTTGGTCAATTTCATTCCCCAGTACCTCTACTTTCCTTCCTTCCTTCTGGTCCCCTTCCTCTACTCTGCTGGTCTTTCTTCTATTTTCATGAGTTCTCCCTCCAACACACACACACACACCCCTTTCCTCCCCTTTTATTCTACCTTATACATATGAGAGAAAACATATGACCCTTGATTTTCTGAGTTTAGTTTCTTTTAGTATGATGTTCTCTAGTTCTATCCATTTACCAGCAAATAAAAATTTATGATTTCTCCTTCTTTACATTTATTTGAATTTTAAAATTTCCTATCAGACATTTATTATTTTTATAATTTAAGATATATGAACATAGTTTAAAAGGTTGTAAAACATGAGAAAAAACAACAAAATAACCTTTTAGCAATGACACAGAACAATGGTACAGCATTATTACAACACATCAGTTTAAAACAGAATATCTCAGAGGCTATGAGGAGCTCTGGAAAAAAATAAGTCTCTAGGGCTGGGGTTGCAGCTCAGTGGTAGAGTGCTTGCCTAGCACATGTGAGGTACTGGGTTCGATTCTCAACATTGAACAAATAAAGGTCCATTAAGAACTAAATACGTTGGCATTAGAGCAGATTATTCTAAGTGAAGCTAGCCAATCCCTAAAAAACAAATGCCAAATGTCTTCTTTGATATAAGGAGAGTAACTAAGAACAGTGTAGGGACGAAGAACAGGAGAAGAAGATTAACATTTAACAGGGATGAGAGGTGGGAGGGAAAGGGAGAGAGAAGGAAAATTGCATGGTAATGGAAGGAGACCCTCAGGGTTATACAGTGGAGGAGGTAGAGAGAGAGGAGGGGAGGGGAGGGGAGGGGAGAGGTGGGGAGGGGGGAGGGTGGAGGATGGGAAAGGCAGTGGAGCACAACAGACACTAGTATGGCAATTTGTAAATCAATGGATGTGTAACTGATGTGATTCTGCAATCTGTGTATGGGGTGAAGGTGGGAGTTCATAACCCACTTGAATCAAAGTGTGGAATATGATATGTCAAGAAATTTGTTATGTTTTGAACAACCCACAATAAAAAATTAAAAAAAAAAAAAAAAAAAAAAGAACTAAATATGTGAAAAAGGAGTTTCTAGAAAAGTGGGCATTTATATTTTAAATCTTTAGGAGTATAGCTCAATTTATGAAGATTTCTGAGGAGACAGAGGTCAGTCATATCCTTAAAAAAAAAAAAGCACACAAAACTGGTCTGCACACAATGTTGGTCAATTCTTTAAAAAATAGGTCTGACCTTTAGGACACATAAAAGAAATTAATGTCGGCATATGGTTCTTTTTTTTAATTTTTTTTTAATTGTAGGTGGATACAATACCTTTATTTTATTTGTTTATTTTTATGTGGTGCCTCATGCATGTTAGGCAAGTACTCTACCACTGAGCCACTACCTTGGCCCTGCATATGGTTCTTAAAACCTACCAAAATACCTTGAAAAGTTATTCAAAGCTCACTTTTATGCACTGAGGATAAGTAGCAATTCCTCTTGCAACATATTCCACTTTATACAGTATGGATGTTTAGACATTTGTGACTACAGGGTCAAGAGTCTGAATTCCCTAGCACATCAAGCAGGACTTTAATAAAAAAACAATAATAAGAAAGTCCAGGAGGGAAAAAACTTTAAAACATTTTTTCATAATAGTACTTCTAATTTACTATGATTAACATAATAATAATATGGTAAATAAATACTGTAATTCACCTGTAATACAGCTTTCTGCTCCTCCCCACATGTGCCAAAGATTTCACTGCGGTGACTGAAGAGCTCATCCATTGAATCTTTGTGTCGAATGATGTCAATGGAGAAAGCCTTTGAAAAGTAAACTGCAGTTAAGTCAAGAAGTAAAAGGAATCCAAGACTGTTAATGAAAGGTAATATACAATCTATGAAAAATTCCTTGCATTCAAGACACAAAAAAATTGTTCTTAAAAGTTTAACACTTTGCTTATTCAACATCTTCAATGCTTATCTTTTTAGTAATTTACAAAAACATCTTCCCTCCTAAAAATCATCAAGGAAATAGTTACCTATAGAATACTCCTGGATTAATGGTCCTATCCTCTTACCCCCCCCGGCCCCCCGAACACCAAACAAAAAGAATCTATACCTCATCCCAATCAAGTATACATAATATTAATTTCTATCTGTCATCATTCTATTAAATCATTCCACTTGACTTGACCTGGGACAGTCAGAAACTCCCCTAGTCACCCAGGGCTGGTGGGACTCTGGAGCTCAGGCACAGTGGGCACTCGGGTGTAATGCTCACCTTCTGCACCTGTAGCTGGGCCGTGGTCTGGTCCTGCTCCAGGCGAACTGGACCCAGGGCCATCAATTTCCGTGTTGTTTCGGCAACCCAAGCTAATTCTGCATCAGCAGCTTGTTCATACTAATGAATATATTGAAGAAAAAAGCACAAGTTATATACAGCCAAGGTCTCCTTCTTGTAAATACAATTTATCCAATATAGAAAGGCTTGAATTTTCAGTAATAACTTATACCTCAGAAAGTAAAGCCAAAACTGAAAATAATTTATTAAAATCACAAGTCATATTTCAACTTCCTTAAAAGGAAGCTACAGAATCCAGTTAGTGGGCCCACAACCAGAAACAACAGAAATTGACACCCTTCAAAAGAAATATGCTTCTTATCAGAATGTTTTCAGGAGGTTGCCAATCTTCTTTCCTACCTGGACGCTAAATAGTTTCAGTTAGATATTTGATATTTAAATATAAACTTAAAATGGCAATAGAAAGCTCCATAAAGTTAACTTGGATTGGAAGTACTTGCCCAGCTGAAGAAGTATAGAACCCCAAAAGAATGCCATATCTTTTCTTTTTCCCTTAGTAAAGCTTTTTTTCTTTTGTTACTGGGGATTGAACTCAGAGGCACTCAACCACTGAGCCACATCTCCAGCCCTATTTTGTATTTTATTTAGAGACAGAGTCTCACTAAGTTGCTCAGCACTGAGGCTGGCTTTGAACTCAAGATCCTCCTGCCTCAGCCTCCCGAGCTGCTGGGATTACAGGCGTGCACCACTGCACCTGGCGTAAAGCTATTTCTTTTTAAAAAAATTTCTTTATTTTTTTATTTATTCTAATTAATTATACATGACAGAAATGCATTTTGATACATCATATATAGATGGAGTATAATTTCTCATTCTTTTGGTTGCATATAACGTAGAAACTCACTGGTTGTATAGTTATATATGAACATAGGGGAATAATGTCTGACTCATTCTTCTACCCTTCTTACTCCTATACCCCCTCCCCTCCCTTCACTTCCTCTACCTAAAGTAACTCTATTCTTCCCTAGTGACCCCCCTTTGCCCCCCACCGTTATGAATTATCATCCATATATCCGAGAAAACATTTGGCCTTTGGTTTTTTAGGATTGGCTTGTTTTGCTTAGCATGATATTCTCTAACTTCATCCATTTACCAGCAAATGCCATAATGTCATTCTTCTTTAAGGCTGAGTAATATTCTATTGTGCATGTGCACACACCCCCCCCCCCAATATTTTCTATATCTATTCATCTATTGAAGGGCACCTCAGTTGGTTCCATAGTTTAGCTATTGTGAGTTGAACTGCTATAAATATTGATGTGGCTGCATCACTTTGATATGCTGATTTTAAGTCCTTTGGGTATAAATCAAGGAATGGGATAGATAGCTGGGAAGCAAGTGGTAGTTCCATTCCAAGTTTTCTGAAGAATCTCCACAGCACTTTCTATAATGGTTGTACCAATTTGCATTCTCACCAGCAGTGTATGAGTGTACCTTTCCTCCCACATCCTTACCAACATTTGTATTTTTTTTCTTTTTAAGTATTTATGTTTTAGTTTTAGGTGGATACAATATCTTTATTTTATATGGTGCTAAGGATGAACCCAGTGCCTCACACATGCTAGGCAAGCACTCTACCACTTGAGCCACAACCCCAGCCCTATTGTTTTTATTCTTGATAACTGCCATTCTGACTGGGGTAAGATGAAATTTAGAGAGTTTTGATTCGCATTTCTCTAATTGCTAAAGATATTAAACTTTTTTTTCATATATTTGTTGATTGATCATATTTCCTTTTTCTGTGATGTGTCTGATCAGTTCCTCAGCCCATTTATTAATTGGGCTATTTGATTTTTGGTGTTCAGTTTTTTAAATTCATTCGTTCGTTCGTTCGTTCGTTCATTCATTCATTCAAAAGTTTTAGGTGGATACCATATCTTTATTTTATTTTTATGTGGTGGTGAGGATGGAACCCAGTGCCTCACACATGCTAGGAGAGCACTCTACCACTTGAGCCACAAACCCAGCCCAGTTTTTATGAATTTTTTATATGTCCTGGAGATTAACGCTCTATTTGTGGTGCATGAAGAACACCAAATCTTTAAGTGTCTATATAATATCAAGAACATTATCTTCATGACTGTTGATCATGAGGGCCCCCCAAATCTTTAATCTCCTCTTTTTCAACTTTGCTAACCTATGCTAATACAGGTTAAGTATCTCTTATCAGAAACAGTTGGGACCAGAAGTGTTTGAGATTTCAGAGTTTTTTTGAATTTTTGGAATATTTGTGCAGACAACTTTACTGGTTGAGTAACTCTCATATAAAAAATCTTAAGAAAATTTCAGATTTTGAAGGATTTTGGATTAGGGACATTCAACCTATATTTAAAGAGAAAAATAAATTTCTCCCAAACCCAGTAAGTTGGCATAGGGAAATACCTGGCTAAGATAAGGATTAACCCTAAAGATATTAGACATATGCTTAAAGTCAGAACCTATACGTGGTTCAGAAAACATTTGCTTATCACTATAAACCCATGCTATCTTATTTTTTGTGCTATGGCACATTAGTAGGTGTATATTCAGCTACAAAAAAACAGCAAATAACCTTTTCCCAGAAAGCATGAAGGAAAAAAGATCAAGGGAAATATGACACCTGTGTTTACTGAGAGGGTTCTATTTTGGATGGCTCTGCTATTTTGGTTTGCATATTTGATAGTAATTATAGTTCCTGGTTTCTTTTCCTCTTCCATTTAATGTTAAGACACTTGATTATATCAAACTAAGATTATTATACATTTGGACCATTTGGGTCTACATATAATCTACTCCCATCACCACTGGCCCAACTTTTAAGAAAAGGCCTTACAGAGACTTTTTTGTGAGTTCTTCTTTTCTTAAAGGGGTCAGGTGTTTCAGGTCAAATCGTGATCCACTCTCACATCCTCTCTACCAACTGTTTCCAATTACTGAAATATGTTTGTTGTATAATATTTACCCTGATCTCATCTTATTCCTGAGCCTGAACTTATGTGGGTCATAGCAGTATACTTTTATACACCTATTCCCACTGCCTAAAATATTAATGCAGAGATATTATAAACATTACCTGTTGTGATCTCTGAATAGCAGCATCAATTTCATCTACTCTTTGTCCAATAGTGTCACTGATCAGTTTGTACTGCTCATTGGCATCAGACACAAGTTTATCCAGGCCTTCTCTGGCTCTCCAGGGCACCAGCTCTAAGAGAGCACGGCTCACCTCATTCACTGTGTCCAACACCAGCCTGTGCTCCATGACCTCCTTCTTCAATTCCTAAGGAAGGAAAAAAATTTCAGGCCATACATTGCTAAATAAAGCACATTAGCAGCTGTGCTGGGTAGAAAGTGTTATCTCTACCACACATCCCAGCACGGCACTGACCTCCTTCCTTCAGTTAGTTTTTTTTCCTTGTCTCAAATCTTTCTATCATTCTGAAGCCCAAGTTTAGGTTTAGATGTTGCTTACTTAGAATGTCTGTAAGACTTGAGCCAGATTGTCTGTGGGGAAGACAAACAGTGCTCTCTTTTTTCTCCCCACTTGAATAGACATGATAAATAATGTTTTAACCATGAGCATCTAACTTAACTAATTCCTACACAGTATTTCTGTTTATCTAAAAATGCACTAGATCCTGCAGGAGAATCAAAGAGAACCATGAAGCACTCTTTAGAGAACAAATTGTGAAGGTAAATTAAAAAATGTTTCATATGAAGCAAAGTTTCTAAGAAGCAGTATTAAACTTCAGATCACAAGGATTCTTATGTATGTCTTTATGCCAGATCTTACTGTTGGTGAGTAAATAAGAGAGGATGCAGACAGACATTTTTGGTTTAGATTTGAAGTAAAGGTAAAAAACCAGAATTATGACAAAGATGAAGCCTTATTCCCTTTTTGGTGTGAAATGAGGGCTCACCTTCTGTCTTTGCTGAAACTGGGGTATCTGTTCCCCTGTGGGAGACTGTCCTCCACTGGCTGCCAGCTCCTCCTCCACCGCCCTCAGCCAACCAGTCAGTTCATCATACGTAGACTGGAATTTGGTGGCCAGCTGCCGGGCTTGCTCTAAAGTTCTAAGGGCCTTGGAGCTAGTGACTGTGATGTCTGCATAACGGGTCTTTATTCCATCTAGTTTCTCCTGGATAAGTAACACCTCTTCACCTGTGGAGAACAGCACACAGTTAATCATATTTAGGAGGATAAGGCTGTCTCTATAGCACCCAAGTTCAAACTAGAGCTTAAATTTCAAAGATGTTCTCTCCCTTGGTAGCTATTTCACTTACCATCCCACACTAAGGGTAAATGGCAAATAAACCTGCTACTTGATATATATATATATATTAAAAAAAAAAAAACAACACATTTCTGAGATTAGGATCTAAGTTTAGCTGCAGGTGTTTCTAGATGTTCCCAGTACCTTGTAGTAAATGCTGGCATTTCACATATTGGAGGGAGGGGGAATCATTATCTATAATCAGATGGGAGACAACTAAGTCTGGTAGTTTTCAAATTTAGCAAGAAACAGGAAAACAGGTCATAAGGCTCTGGAGCACATGCTAATACAGTTAGTGAATACTAAACTTCTCAAACATACAAAGAGAAGTTGCTAATGCATAGTATTTATTTCCCTGGATAAGTGACTGTCTTTGAGACAAGAGAGGTGCTAAGAGATACACTTTTCAAAGTACCTGTGGTTTGTTTTAGTAGAGCCTGACCATTTTTAATAGCTTGATCTACATTCTTCTTCCTATTAACAATTTCTTCATTTAAAGCCTGAAAGGAAAAAACACTATTAATTTCAAAACTATGGCACAACAAAGGAAAGAAATATGAGATCTTCAAGAGACTAAATTTATAGAGATGAATACCAGGTTAGTTCAATATTAGATATTTAATTCCCTTTTTGAAATGTTTGATTACCCCATTGATTGTTCAAAATCATTAAATTAGATACTTATAGGCAAGTTTATCTTTGTGCTAGATGAGATATTTGGATTGAATCAGTTTTACAAATCTACTGGTACCAAATCCAAACCCAAGAAAGATAGAAGTAAAATTCAGCAAAAAAAAAAATGTCTACTATGTCCAAAATAAAGAGTAAGAATGTTCAAGAAAAGAAAGAACAGGTTGACTTAAATCAGGATCCTTGCTTGACATGCACGATGCTCTGGTTTTGAGATCTAGCAACACACACATACACACACAAAGATACAGAAAATCAGAATTGTAAGAATTTTCCATATTTGAAGTTGTCAAAGTAAGCAAAAAAATATTATTTTAAAAACTACTTTGCCTATTTTTACTACCCCCAAAGAGATTTCATAAAAAATAAATTAGAAAAGGCATCTACTAAGATGACAAAGAATTCCTGAAATTTGAGCATACAATTCCAGAAATATTCTAAAAGTTATACGGATATGACTGAATCTTGGGCATATGTTGTTTTCTTAAAGTTCATTTTCTTTCATAAATCTGTTCAAATGGAAACGCAATGATATATTACCTAATGATACAAGTTATGAGCTGTAGTTGAGATGAGTTCTAGCTATACCCTGTACCATCGTCTAGAATTGTTGACTCAGTTTGTTAAGTATTTTTATGAACCCATCCTAAAAGATTAGTACTCAGCACCAAGTCTATAAACTATGTACTTATGTAAAAAATAAAGTTGAAGTGTTTGGAATGAAGAAAAGAAAAAGAAAAAAAAACACAAATAAAAATGAAAAAATAACTCAATAACATAACCAATAAATGGAAAACACAAATACCAGGTGGTCAGCATGCTGTTTCTGCAGGACATCCTGTCTGTAATCCTTTACGAACACTGAACTGAGCTTGTCCTCAACCTCAGCCAGCCAGTTGAGCACCTCCACCTCATCCTCCCCGAACAGTCTAGCATTGGACAGTGCCTGTTCAAGCAGTGCTGCCTTCCGACAGCACCAGTCTTGAATCTCACTGTACTGGGCCTGCAATGAGTCTAGCTTTTCTGATAGCACACCCTGCTCTGCAGGACATGTCAGGGAGGAGAGAGACTGCCCAATTTTGACTGCCTGGTGCACATCTGTTGCATGGTTTTCTATATCTTCCTCCAGAGCCTGGAAATCCAGATGGAAAAAATGAATAGAAGAAACAAAATAAATGAAAAGCAAACATAAAACAACAAATAACAAATTAAATTAAAAATTCACCTACTGGAGATAAAAATAATATAAAAAGTAGGAAAAAAAAGCTATTTATTTTTCTGATGGTAGCTTGTTAGTCAATTTCTACATTTACTTCCAAGATAAAAGTTAAAAACTTGACCTTATTTTAAATTAAAACTGAAAATAAAAACTCCATAAAATACATCTTCTAGAATGCTGCAGTTTTTTTTTTTTTTTTTTTGTTTTAATTTCTAGGATTTCTTTCTCCAGTTTTGTGACTTTGTTTAGAACTCCTTCCTACCTTGTGACGAATGATCTGCTGCTGAATTTTGGCAGTCTGAGTGCCAACAGGTTCCGAGTTAGCAAGCTTTTTCTCTGTGACAGATAAGAAGTCAGAAATAGGCTCAGCAGTCTCATGGAATTGTTTGGCCAGAACCAGGATATCTTCCAACTGGTTTTGCCTACACAAACATATAGAACAAGCTGCTCAGGCAGAAAGTCACATCATAACTTAATGGTACTAAATTCAGTTAAAGGACAGTGTTATCAGACCAGTTTAAATACCAATAATAAACAGAACACACATTATGCAGCACTTTGCTTTATAAAAGGTTTTCACAGCATTCCTTTACTGGTCCTGTTATAACCTTGTAAGGTGGGCAGAATAATTATTCTAGTTTATAAAAGAGAAAACTGACCTTGAAAGTTTAAAGGAAGATTTGTCCAGTCACCCAGTAAGTAGAAACAATAGAATGTGAACTAGAATCAAATCCTTATACCACCTGGGCACATATTGAGGTGGAATGTATACTTTATGTATATCTATAAAGCACCAACTAAAAAAACAATATGCAAACAGAAGGAAGACTAGGAGTAGAGGAAGAGAAACGGGGGAGGGGGGGGAGGAAAGGAGGGAGGGAAAGTGAAAGACTGGGGATTGAAATGCAGTGAATTATATTCTATGCATGTAAATACATCAAAATGAACCCACTATTATGTACAATGCACATTCCATTTCTAAAATATAATGTAATGTGATTCCACCTAAATATGGCCAAAATAAAGTTTAAAGGGGTCAAAAAAATCTTCCTGTCTCTGTCACTGTACCTTCATGTGTGAGCTAAGGAGAGTATCTTAAGAACAAAGGTAATACAGTTCTCTGAGATAGAACTCCCTCTCCATATCCCAAAAATACAACCAGGCAATTCCAAGCCCAAAATATAAGTTTTAATCCAGACTTAAGGCAAAATCACAATAACAAACACCCTAGATTGGCTGAATTTGTCAACAGAAATAGGCAAAAGAGCTGAAAAGACTCCATAGTTTACTTAGAATCTTAACTCTTATTTAATATAACATCATACTAAGTTTGGATTTCAAGTACACTATAGATTAAAAGCAGCAAATTACAGAGAGGAATAAAGTCTGTTGGAGGCAGCTTGACCAGGAAGAGATACAAAAACAACCACAGAACTATATTAGCTCACAGATTAATAATGAAAGGCCCTAACTTTAAATTACTAAGAGCAGACTCAATAATAATCCATTTGAAAAGGCCTGGGATTATATGATGTGCTTTGGTTAACTTTACTCAACACCTGCTTTGTGCCAAGTCATATGCTGATTACATCCTGACAAACTTATTTTTAATAAGAAATGATTTAGTGGGCTGGGATTGTAGCTCAGTGATAGAGTGCTTGCAAAGCATGTGTGAGGCACTGGGTTTGATCCCCAACACCACAAGAAAACTAAATAAACAAAATAAAGGCATTGTTCCTATTTACAACTAAAAATATTTATTTAAAAAAGAGAAATGATTTAAATAAAAAGAATTAGCATTTTAGTTATCTGGAAATTATATTTGAATATAAAGAAAAACACATTTCTGGATGCTATCCACCCCCCCGCCCCCCCCAGGGATTTAACCCAGGGGCTCTCAACCACTGAGGCACATTCCCAGCCCTATTTTGAACTTTATTTAGAGACAGGGTCTGAGTTGCTTAGTGCCTTGACGTTGCTAAGGCTGGCTCTGAACTCGCCGCAATCCTATGGCCTCAGCCTCCCAAGCCACTGGGATTACAGGCATGTGCCACCGCGCCTGGCAGATGCTACCATTTTTTTTTTAAATTTATTTTTTAGTTATAGTTGGACACAGTACCTTTATTTTATTTGTTTATTTTTATGTGGCACTAAAGATGGAACCCAGGGCATCACATATGCTAGGTTAGTGCTCTATTGCTGAGCCAGAACCCCAGCCCACTACCATTTTTTAAATAACAAATTAAGTATTACAGAAATCCCTTTCCTATAAAAATCCATTTCCTTGCCTTCAAAATACATCTTGAATCAATGCAACTGAAATATGTATCTTAAAGATTATTATTAAACTAGAATTTCATTTTAAGAATATTATCTAATTTCTATCTTTTTGACTCATCTCTGATCTTGGAATCTTGAAGTTTGAAGAAGTCAATATAATAAAATTTGGGGGATTAAGAAAGTTGATAAAATAATTTAGACGCATCAAATATCCAAAATTAAAGAATTCAGATAAAAGACTTTAGAATGACTATAACAAAGGAAACTACTATTGTTACTTATCTTTATACTGGCTCAGAAACTGTATTAGGCCAGAAGGATGGAGGCAAGTACAGTAGAATGAGAGAACCAAAGAAGAAAATCATGACATTAAGGAACTTATGGACCATGAAAATAAATACATAAAATGAATGGCCACAATGCAAGGTACAGATATAGTTATGGCAGTTAAGAGGTAGAGTTGTTGGGCCTGGTGGCCAACACCTGTAATCCCAGCTACACAGGAGGCTGATAGAGGAGGATTGCAAGTTTGAGGTCAGTTTCAGTAATTTAGGGAGATGCTGTCTCAAAATAAAAAATAAAAAAGCCTGGGGTCCAGGCATGGTGGCTCATGCCTGTAATCCCAGCGATTGGGAAGCTGGAGCAGGATTATGAGTTCAAAGCCAGTTTTAGCAATTTATCGAGGCCCTGAGCAACTTAGTGAGACCTGTCTCAAAATAAAACTTAAAAAGGGCTGGGAATGTGGCTCAGTGGTAGACTGCCTCTGAGTTCAATCACCAGGACCTAAAAAACAAAAAACAAAGGGTTTCATGGAAGGGGAGAGGGACAAAAGCATTTCATATAGAATGTAACAACAATAGAAATGACAGGAGTAGAAAATTGAAAGAAGATGTTAAAGAACAAAATACATTTTACCAATAAAGAGTGAGAATAATAATAGTGAAATTTAAGGTAGTTAGGGTCAAATAGAAGGCTTTGAATGTTGAGTGAAATAGTTTAGATTTTATGTTATAGGCAACAGGGAGCATTTAAATGTCTTTGAGATATGATCAAACATGTACTTGAAAAAAATATACCTGCAGCTGGGAGATGAGAAGAGAAAAAGGCCTGAGGATAAGTAGAAGAGTGATTAGCTAGAAAGCTACCTTAACAGTCCAAGATGACAGCTCATGAATCATGAACTAAGGTAGGTGAGTGAGAATTAGACAAACAGATGAAAGGAAAGACATTGTAGAAGTAAAAAGGACAGAATTCAGCAAGCTGGTACATATGGGGCATAAAAGAAGGCTAAAAGGATTGTTTTTGTTGCTACCGGGAATTGAACTCAGGGACACTCAACCATTGAACCACATCCCCAGCCCTATTTTGAATTTTATTTAAAGACACGGTCTCACTGAGTTGCTTAGTGCCTCTCTTTTTGCTGAGGCGACTTTGAACTCAGGATCCTCCTGCCTTAGCCTCCAGAGCTGCGGGGATTATAGACATGCACCATTGTACATGGCAGGATTGATGCTTTTAGGCCCAGGAAACCATTAATGGAAATGGACAAAAAGAAAAGGGAAAAAGCAATGTAAATCTGGAAATAAGTTAAATTCTTTCTATTTTATTTTTCTCACTAAAATGGGCAAGCTGTACTTTGCAACTCAGATGATAAATAAGCCAAGTCATAGGCAGGTAGAAGAAATATACTAATGAGGTAGTCCTTTGAAGACTGCCAGTATCTACCTAGAAAACTATCAGCTCTACTATTCTTACTGATATCTGATAATCTGGCATTTATTAAGACTTTGGATCGTATAAGCTAAAAGTAAAGACATCCATGTGATTTATTAAGCTTAAGAGACATGACGGTTAGTTATGGAAAGAGAACTATTTCCTTGGAGGGAGAAAGTACACTTTCGGTCTTTTGGCAAATGAGTAAAGAATATCCATACATTTCTTGGATGGCCATATTCTTCACAGACTAGCTCCTAGAGGCAAAGACATCTAAAATCAAGATAAGCTAACAGAAAAGCAGCATGACAAATTTCAATTCCAAATAGCAAAAGCATTATTTATAAACATGAAGGAAGAAAAATCTGTTTCAAAAACTCAGAGAAAATAACTTGGCTGGATTATAGAAGTCTGTGTCTGTTCTTTGGAACCACAACTATTGTGCAGCAGAACCACTACATAGATCAGTGAATCTTCCACTTATAAGTAGCTGAAGCTCATTTTCTCAGAGTGATTCTGGTTATGAGGATCTAAAACACCTTCTGAAGCTCTATATGAATCATCCAGGACCTCTTAAAGCACATCAGTGACAGTAAGACAAACAAAGGACAAAACAGACCCCTGACCCATTCTTTAAAAACTCCTTTGGCCTTACCTGGCGGCTGCCTTGCTGAGTAGTTCAGTCCATCTACTTTCAAGACTCCTCAACTGCCCAGTGATTTTCTCTCTATCAGCCACCTCAGCTGACTGGGCTATTCTGCCTCCTTCTGCCTGAAGCATGTCTACCGTGGCCTTTCTGTCATCTAGGAGTCGTTGGAGCAACTATAAGTTTAAAGAAAATGAAAAGCAACAACACCTGCTCAGTTTCAAGTTTCAAGTAGGATGAAAAAACAAAACAACCCTACTGTCCTAAATCCCAAGCTTATGTCGATAATACAAGTTTTTCCCACCCTTGAGGCAAAAACATGAGATACAACATAGTTCCTACCACTACCACCCAAACTTTTTATACACTTAGAGCTTTTAAATGGATCTATGACTGCTCTTATGTCATTAACAGGGGAGTTCCTCTGGACCAAGACAAAAGTGCACTTAAAAATGGTGAGTATATGAGGTGAGGGATGTGTTAGCTTGATCAAGGGAATTATTTCACAATATATACATCTATCAAAACATCACATCATAAGTTGTAAATACATGTATTTTTATTTTGTCAATTGTACCTCAAGTAAAACTGAAAAAATAAAAGGAAGTAAAATTTCCTTTGGGATAAAGGAAAAATGCACTGAAAAAGAAATTAAAAACAACAACAAATACAGATAAAACTCTGTACATGATGTGTAATTTTACTTAGAATATTGCTGATCCTGAAACAAAAACTTAACATAAAGCTGTGAACGAAACATTGAAATAAAAAAAAATGAACAAGTAAACTTGTTTAGTCTAACATCTGCCATAGCAAACTAGCAGGTTAGAGTAACATGATAAAAATGAATTCCTGCTTCTCTTTTCAGGATGACACAAAGTAGGTTAAGATTCTACTAGAATTGACTTGTTCTTTAAACTACAAGCAAATGTGTTGTCTGCCACTCCCTAAGGCTGTTTCAGTTCACTGTCCCAACATTCTCACTCACCTTCTGTTCTTGAATCTGTGCTTTCACCACTTTATACTCAGCAGATGGAGGTTTCTGATTGGCTATGAGCTCCTCAGTGTCTGCCAACCAGCTGAGCAATGGCTCCAAGGCATCTTGAAACTTCCCACAATGCAACAAAGCCTCCTGTAGTTGTGCAATTCTTTGTGCAACCTGTGTTACAGTCACAGAGGCTCATTATGAGAAAGGAAAGAGTGTTTTTTAAATTACTATTGATCCCTTTTAGTACCTATAGATTGCAATGGTCAAATATTTACTTGCAATCAGGTTCCAGAGAAACTTTAGATGTAGATGTTTCTCTTCTATGCCTTCTGGTCCCAGAACAATTGTTACCTACCCCTTTGCCACTCACCTTTTTATTCAGTGTATTCCATCGAGCATTGATCTCTTCCATGTCATGTTCTAAACCCTGTACATCACAGTTTTTTCCTGCACTCTGAATGAGTCCCTGGCCAAGTCCATTAACCTGCTGCAATTTCATCTGAAGAGGATCCACTTGTTCTTTCTGAAACATCTGGATAATTGCAAACCAAAGAATATTTAAAGGCTATTAGACCCCCGTAGAGGAACAGGGTATTTTTTTTTTTTTTGGGTACCAGGGATTGAACCCAAGGAGTGCTTAACCACTGAGCCATATCCCCAGTCCTTTTTATTTTTTTTAAATTTAGAGACTCACTGAGTTGCTTAGGGCCTCGCTAAATTGCTGAGGCTGGCTTTGAATCTGTGATTCTCCTGCCCCAACCTCATGAGCCGCTGGGATTACAGACATGCACCACTGTGCCTGGTTGCAACTGCATATTCTTGATAAATTTATGATTTAGTGTAGAAGGAACTAGGAAAAAAAGCAAGCAAGCAAGCTAGCTATCTACATAAGTATCAAAGAAATAGTGGTTTCATATTTCAATATATGCTCTCATTGACATATAATTACAGAGTTAAGGTACTACTTAGGTCTTTAACCCAATTATTCCTGGTTTTGCTTTCTTCTTTTTAATTTTTGCTGAACTTTTAATGAAAAAGCTAGAGGGAATACAGAAGCATCAGCCTCAAATATTATATAATAAGTGCAATGTATATAAATCTTAAAAGGAAAAAATGATACTAAATAACAATTATTTAAGATGAAAAATATCTTGGAGAATAGATTCAACTGACCGCTGACAACAGACAATGCTCTTCTCTGACTAGTAAGAATAACTCAATTAGTCAAAACATACTAACACTTCGGAAAAATGCCAACCTCGTGGTTTAATCCCCCTGTTGGCAGTTAACTTCATTCTGTTCCAAGGCCACAGACCACACACAGTCAATAATCTTGAAAGGATACTCTGATTACAAAGGAAAATGGCCCCTTAATATTGGGAGACATCCTTAACAATTTCAGACACACATTCTGAGGAACAAAGAATACTTTCTTAGGGGCTGGGGATATAGCTCAATTGGTAGAGCGTTTGCCTCACATGCACAAGGCCCTGGGTTCAATCCCTAGCACCCCCCCCACACCCCCCCCAAAAAAAGAGAGAGAGAATACTTTTTTAAAAGACGAGACTGTGTATCATGTTCATCCTGAAACAGACTTGTAAAACAATTTTAACAAGTGTAATAAGTAGTGTGCATATTTTTCCCTACTACAGTCAAAGCTCTATTACAACTCAGATATTTCTAAAAGGAATCAAAAAGAATCAGAAGAAAACAGTACTTTTGATCATAAGGAAAAGAAAAATATTTTGTCTCTACAATCAAATTTCTCTCAGCTTTTACAAAAGGGTAAAACCAGCCATATTCCAGTAGCCTGGATTTAGTTCCATTTTTATTTTTTGCAGTACTGAACTCAGGGCCTTGCCAGAGGCTTGGCAAGTATTCGGTCACTGAACCATACCCCCAGCCCTTTTAATTTTATTTTGAGACAGGGTCTCTCTAAATTGCCCATTCTGGCCCTGAACTTGTAATCCTCTTGCCTTAGTTTCCCAAATAGCTGGGGTTACAGTGGCTTCCTTTCTGGTCTTCCATAAAAAGTCCCTTCAGTTTTAGTGAGACAGGTGGGTCAATTAAGACCAGAGGATGAGAGAAAACAGAAGACAAAAGAAAATTATAAGTTTGGGTAAAATTAATTTTGGACTACATGAGCGACCACAGATCACACTATGATTAGGAATCTGATTCCAGGAAGAATGGTCTATGGCTGGATAAGTGAGTCAGTAGAAAGGGAAAGCCCCAGCGGAACACTGAAAAGAGAAGGTTACAAAGGTAATTATCAGTGCACTTCATTTTTTATTATAATTTGATTAAACCATATTTTGTTAGGCAACACTCCATGACAGTTAGGCTAAATAACTTTCTCTAACAACATGATTCTCAGAAAATGCAAGTGCTATAATTCCTCTTTGTAACATTAAAGATGTTATCATTGAAGATAAATAAGCAGAAGCCAGCGGATGTGTGTGTGTTTCTCCCACATTTAAAGTAACTTTGGTGCAATATAGCAATGGTGGTGATGATGGCAAAGAAGAGCACCAGAGGTACAAAGGGAAGATCCCTTTTTACCCAATAATCAAATTCTGTCTTATACTATAGGTGGCATTTATATTCTTTCTGTGCTATCTAACATTGGAGCCAGCAGCTACAAGTAGCTATTTCAAGTTAAATTTAAATAAAAATTCCATTCCTAGCCACATTTCATGTGGTCAACAGCTTGTGGCTAGTGCCTATTTATTGTATATGGTCATGAATAGAGAACATCTCTATCTAGGCAGAAGTTCTATTGGACAGTGAACATGATACAGAAAAGTAAAATATATTTAAAGCTTAATAATCTCTTCATAAAATACAACTAATTCTTTAAAAATTTGGATTTTGTTTACAAACATTTCCTATAAAGGATTAGATATTCCTTTGTTTCTGATCTCCACTTGATTGATTAAGTTGACAGGGACAATGGGCATTTGTCTCCATCATTTTGCAGAAGTTGAAAAACATAGGAAAGTATCTCTAAATAAGTATTATCAAGGTATTTATTTTGAACCCAAGCAAATAATATTAAATAAAGTAAATCCAAAAACACTTGTTTTCTTCTCTCAACTCCTAATTAAAACTGTTTTGCAGAACTTGTGCTATTAGATGCATTAAAATTTCTACTCCTTAGTATTTCACAGTTCAGTGAAATGGGACCATGCCATATTATTAAATAAGCAACACTGGCAGACATTTTCCAGAGTTGCACACTTATAAATTGTTGTAAGATGCAACTGGGACATAAAACAAAAAATTTCCCAAAGAACTTCTTAGAACACTTTTATCTTTGGTGATAATCACATCATTCCAGTTTCATCCTGATTGATCATTATTTTTTTTTTAATGTCCTTTGTTCTCCTCTTTTTCTTCTAGACCTCTAAAGTTAAGAGTACTTGGGGGTGGGGATGAGGGGAAAATGTCAATTCTAGGACCTCTTTTTTTCCATATTCTTCCTGGGCAATTCCGTCCATTCTCATGGCTTTAAATATTAGTCCTGCAAAATGCTTATGATTCTCCATTATCTCTCATCTTTCAAATCTAAATATCCAACTGCTTTCTTATTATTTATATACAAATGATTCATAGCCATCTTGAACCTAACTTCCAAAATGAATCAGTATCTCCTACTTTTCTGTTACCTAAAATTTGTTTTTCTCTAAATCAACAATTAACTATTGTCCTCATCCACTTGGATGTACAAGTCATCCTTGATTCCCTCTCCCTCACACCCAACAAAAAAGTCATTATCAGGTCTTGTTGGCTACTTCCAAAATATTTCTTGACTCTATCAAATTACCTTCAAATCTACTGATATCTTTAAATAAAAAGCACGATCATAGTTTGTAACTGTATATTTAGATGAGTCATTTTTTGCTTGACACCGCCTCCCCCACTCTACTTTAGGTTCCACAAGGGCAGGTACCATGCTAATTCTGTTCAGAGCGGGAACCCAGTATCTGGCACAGAGTAGGTTCTCAATAAATATTTATTCCATGAATGAATTAATTATAGAAACTGTTATTAGGAAAAACAAACAAACCCATCAAGTTTCTGACAATCAGGTGAGCATTCAAACACCAAACAGATTGTGTTGCTTCCCAATTTTCACTTAAAAAGATTCCTTGACAAATTTTAATTGTAAAGAATCTCTACTTTATACAAAAGTTTTTTGTTTTTTTTTTTCCCTTTCATTGAACCAGTGACTCACAGTTTGTGCTTAGTGGGCCTCAGCTCCCACTACAGAAATGGCAAACAAGTTTCAGCATTATGCTTCTCTACCAAACTGTTGTTACTGACTTTTAAAAAGTCTCTCTATATTTTTAACCAGGTATAAATGTGTACATTTATATATAACATGTACACAGAGGATCACTCTAAATCACATTACAGGCTTGATCACTTATTGTGTTCTAAGTGTGCTTAGAAATGACAGGTTCAATTGCCTCTAACAACCCTCTAAAAATGAAGAAATAAAATTCATAACATCTCTTATCTTATAAAACTTTTAAAAATATTTCATCAATTTAGAAAATCCTATACTTTGGTTAACTCTAACAATTTGTTTCAATAAATATTTTTAAAATAGCCACTCTTTATTCTTACTGGCTAACATTCTTGGCTGGAACTCAGGCTTAGATCTGTCTTTTTCTGTGCACAGATGTAGACATCTGCTTGCTTCCACATATTCCAGGAAATAACTGTTCTTCAAAAATGGACAAACTTGTAGGAAAGCTATCATTTCCTTTTTAAATTTTTTTTTGGTGGGGGGGAGTACTGGGGATTGAACTCAAGGGCACTTAACCACTGAACATCCCTAGCCCTATTTTGTATTATATTTAGAGACAGGATCTCGCTGAGTTGCTTAGCACCTTGCTTTTGCTGCGGCTGGCTTTGAACTTGAAATCCTCCTGCCTCAGCCTCCCAAATGCTGTGATTAAAGGTGTATGCCACTGCGCCCAACTTCTTTTTAAAATTTTTTAGTTGCAGATGAACACAATACATCTATTTATTATTACCTGGGATTGAACCCAGGGCACTTAACCATTGAGCCCCAGCCCTAGTCCTTTCGTACTTTATATTTAGAGACAGAGTCTTACCTAGTTGTATAGGACCTTGCTAAATTGCTGAGGCTGGCTTTGAACTCATGATCCTCTTGCCTCAGCCTCCTGAGATGCTGGGATTATAGGCATGCACCACTGTGCCCAGCTTATTTATTTTTTATGTGTTGCCTCATGCATACTAGGCAAGCGCTCTGCCACTGAACCACAACCCTGTCCTTTTCCTGTCATTTTTATCAGTCAGTATTTCATAAAATGACTAACTCCTGCAGCTGGAAGGATCCTAAGAGATTACCTAGTCCCATCTACTAATTTTTGCAGTTAAGGAAACAGATTCTGGAGAATAATACTAAGAATTTCTCTGAGTTTTTATACAGATTTGACTGGCTCCTTACAAATTTAATCCCTGTACTTCATTGATTTTTGCTGTAGGCTTTATGCCCATAGAAATAGTCTGTATTATCGAGAATGTCAGTACAAGAAATTTACTCTGCCACTGACCTATTGTCTTGACTTTGAAAAGGATACTGGGAAGTCAGTGTCAATCCTATCTTCAATAACATTCAGAAAATAGAATAAAAAAAAATCCAAAAATCTGAAAGGTGATACATTCTAATTTGATAGAATCCCACATTATAAAATAATTGGTGAAGCCCAAAGTGAAACCACAACTCAGTTAAGCAGATCTGTGGCAAAATTGGCAGCTTATGGGATGCAATCAAAAATTATTTTGTTGATGGCAGCTGTACATTTAATTGGTGTCCTACCAGACTACGGCTGCCCTGAAAGACTCTGCAATGGGGTAGAGGAAAGGACCCATCTTTATTGAAGCACTCGTTGTTACTCCAGGAGATTGATACTCATTAACTCAGTCAATGGTGAATGCCTAATGTAAAAAGGGCAGTTTCAGGTCTTGGGGACAGAGTAAGATCACAACAACCTCTTCATTTGGTTATCCCTATTAGATTAAACCTCTAAATCCTTTACTTCTCACCTATTCCAAATGATACCTGGGTGGTAAACTGCAGAATGCTGTTCTCAAATTCCTTTAACTTAGAGGGTTCAAGGATGTAGAACATTTTCCCACATATTCTGCTAACATTTAAAATCTTAAGAGCTATGAAAGATCCAAGAGATCACTTTAGCCCAATTCTCGTTTTTTCACATCAAGAAACAAGAGGTCCAGGAAAGCAAAGTGACTTGCTTAAGGACACAAAGGCAATTTCACAAAATTACTAAAATACTTCTACTTTTTTTTTTTTTTAAATAATACCTCTGGCTTTAAGAAACACATTTGCATTAAAAAGCCTGTTACTCACACATCTTTATATTGCTTTTCCCCAATCTGCTTTGGCGAATTCTACCTAACCAATCTATTTGAAGGGGAAAGGGAGGGTACAGTTAGCAACTGACATCTTACACACTTGGTTCTTTACATGTGCTATCTCATTTTATCCTTACAAATGTCAAAGGGTTCTGCCTTACTAAATGAGGAAACTTAAGGCTCAGAAAATATAATTTTCCCAGAGTGGTTAAGAGCTATTCTACATCTCAAAGCTCACACTCGGGCCTCCACCTAACTGCTGACATCACTGATTAATAGGCAGTCTCTAAATTTAGGAAGGAGCAAGCCAGCTATCTATTTCAAAACCAGAATCATCCTTTCCTATTAATGGTCTTTTTTAAAAAAATGTAAATCAATAACTACTTACATCCCTATTATCCTTAGTCTTATCTGAATAAAAAATAAGAGTATGATTTATAAAGTTTTTTCACTAGGAAAAACTCAATAGAAAGTCTGGAAATTATAATTCTGGGTGGGGTGGGGCAAAAAAGAACAAAAGAAATGACTACCTGCCATTTCTCATTATCACAAAGTCTGAGAACTCACCAATCTCATTTTACTCTCTAGACCCTCTCTGGCAACAAAATAAGCAATAATTACCTCATTTGAATTTAATCCACCAGTTGCAGTCAGAGGCATTTTCCCATGTAGCAATGTGCCAGGCACCTCTTTTATTCCAAATGCTGAAGGATCCAGGTCCTCCTTGATCCACATTCCAGTGGCAGAAGCCTCCCCCAGTACAGAACTACCGCCTTCTGCAATAGGCACTGAATCAGTGTGTACAGCACCTCTCAGGAAGGGTCCACTAGTGGGGGAAACTTCCTCTAGAGCAGGCACTGTAGCAGTTGGGGTGGCTAGCCCTTCTGGGGTGGACACTCTAACAGCTTGAGTATCAGGCTCCTCTGGGATGGTGGGCCCTGCAGGAACCAAGGAGGCAGGCTCCTCTGGGGTGGGGGGCCCTGTAGGAACTGGAGAAGAAGGCTCCTCTGGGGTGGTGGGACCTGCAGGAGCCAGAGAAGAAGGCTCCTCTAGGGTGGTGGACCCTGCAGGGGCTGGGGAGACAGGCTCCTCTGGGGTGGTGGGCCCTGCAGGAGTCGGAGAAGAAGGCTCCTCTGGGGTAGTGGGCCCTGCAGGAGTCGAAGAAGGCTCCTCTGGGGTGGTGAGCCCTGCAGGAGTCGGAGAAGGAGGCTCCTCTGGGGTGGTGGGCCCTGCAGGAGCTGGGGAGACAGGCTCCTCTGGGGTGTCATTCTCTTTGACTGGTACTACAGCAGTCCCCTCTGAGGACACTGCAGCAATTGGAACAGACTCCTCAGGAACAGGCACTCCAAGAGCAGGAGCAGCAGCCACCTCTAGGCCTGAGACTTCAGCAGTTGTTGCATCCTCCTCTAGGGTGACCATTAACACAACCGGGATGTTAGCCTCTGGAAAGGACACAACATCAGCAGCTACAGCAGTGCCCTCTGGGGTGGGCACTGTAGCATCAAGGGCATCTTCTTCTACAGCAGGCACTGCAGCAGTTGGGGCAGGTCTCTGTAGGCTGGGTATCCATTCCTCTAAAACTGGTTCAGTATTACCAGCTTTGGTAACTTGTTCCTCTGCAAAGATATTCAGGAATGGATCTGAATCTCTCAATTCCATTTCTCCCTGTGATGACGCCACATTTGGCTTAGGCTTTACATCATTCAAAGTTTCCACTCCATCACTACCATGTCTCAGTTCTCCAGCAAGCAGGTGCAGACTCAGAATCTCTAACTCTGGGGACTTTCTCTGGAGATCCTGGAAGACCTGCTCTGGGAAATCTGTATGAAAATGTGCTGGGGCTCCATCCCCCCCAAACTTGGCTTGATAATCCAGCTCTTTTGCCTCACTAGCCTCATTACAAACTTTCTGTATGGACAATTCACAAGGGACTGCATTTTCTAAGGATGCCAGACTGTTATTTTCTTGGTTAATAGCTCCTTTCTCACTTTCCAAATGAATTTCATTTGTTAATAAATTTGAATCGTACAATAACACTTCTACTTTAGGTCCTGAGGTTACAACTGTTAGTTCATAGTTAGAAGCAAAACTGAGGGGTACACTCTCAATACACTCAACATTTTCCTCAGTTTGATTGCAGTCTACCTGGAACAAATTACCATCTTCTTTGGCTAGCTCAGAAGTAACAAAGCCTGATAGTTTTTGTTCATAAGAAGCCCTGTGATCAGAGATAAGCAATCCTCCTGGGTTCAGCTCTCTCAGTGATTCCAGATCAACTGGAGACTTAAATTCCTCCCCAGTCTTGGGGCTAAAAGGCACTTTTTCATACTCCTTGCTAACTGTGGAATTGTCCCTCATGATTTCAGGGTAGGCAACAAGTTCTCTAGCATTAGGCACCTGAGAAGAATCCAGGGCATTAAAATATTCACAATCCAATCCGGTAGCATGATCCTTTACTCTTACATTTAAAAAGCCTAAATGTTGTTCTTTTTCTAAGGCAGCCCCTGGAAAATGACTAATTACAAGTGAATTTTCTGCATCCTGGGATGGGGCCAGCCCTTCAGAAGAGGCTTGATTCTGTGGCTCAACTACTCCTTCTTCACATAAACACTCCTTTTCAAGTTCAAGAAACATCTGCTCTGAATCTGTATCCGAGAGCTGCTCTGCATCTACAGGCCCAACAGTACATTCTAATTCTGAAACAAGATGCTCTAGCCCTTGAGCAGTTCCATTTTTCCTCTCAATAGCATCCTCACCTGCAGGAACACAACTACAAACCAGGGGTGCATCCTTGGGCTTAGAAGCCAAATGTTCCCTAGCTGTCTGTGGGTTATCAGAGTAACAAATCTGATCAAGAGGTAGGGAGTCAAAAGTCCCCAAAGTGGCAGTTAAGCAACTAGCTCCATCCTCTACTACTGCTACAGTATTTGCTTGTTCTCTTTCTTCCAAAATATCTGCCAAGCTGTTCTCATCTGCCATTAGAAGAGCCTTTTCTCTCTCTGACAGTTTCTCTTCCTCCCACTCCTCCTCAGCCTCCATCATGATCCATCGTTCATCCTCCTCAAACTTTAGCTCAGACTCTGTTTTCTCTCTAAGACTGGGGGTTACGAGAATATGCAATTCTGGATCCAACAGCTCTTCACTGAGGCAAGGTGAGAGAGGTGGTATTTCCACAGTACAGGCTGTGTCCCCAAGGGGGTGCTGCTTCTCGCTAAAGCTTCCTGTAGCAGAACTTTTCGTGGCCCTGGGCCAGGTTGCACTTGAGAATCTGTGTTCCTGTGTTACATCTGTGTTACCACTTGCTGCTGCAGTTTCTGATTCTACAGGATGGAATTCCTGGGGAGAGCTCTCACTGTGGTGCTGGAATCTGAAGTCCTGGCAGTCTCCACTTAAGTTTTTCATATCTTGCACTCCTGGAATACCTGTAGATTTGGCCACATGTTCCAAAGTTAGTGACTCTGATTGAGGTTCCCTGTGGTCCAAATTACCAGAACTTCCTGTTAATGCAGAACTGGATTCTTTCTTCTCTTGCAAAGAAGGATTTGAAGCACCAGCTTCTGAAACTTCACTGAGAGAAGCTTCCATTCTTTCTGCAAATTCCTGGAAGTTGGGAGGCATGAAGGACTTCCAAGATCTTCTGTTAATATTGTCTTTGCGCTCTGCATTTGGCCGCCGTCTGGGTGGCACAGGTGCCGACTTCTGTACGTCACTGCTTAGCTTTAATGCATCAAAAATTATTCTTTCATCCAACTTTTTGCTTTCTGGTGCTCTCGATTCAAAAACATTAGCTGCTGCTCCTAATGTACCATTGCTGGATATGGTACTTCCTTCCATCTTCTCCATGGTGCTTTTTGAAGTCTGATTAAGCTTTGATCCCTGGTCAATCTGTTCATTTATCCTCATTGTATCATATATAGAACGCTGTGGAACATAGCAATCCTCTATATAGCCGTCCTCATCCTCCCCTTTCCCCAGGCAAGTGGGGTTGCGCCTTAAACAGTCTGGCCTGCTGAGTGGCTTACCCATACTTTTTCAATCAAGATGAATCATCAATCTTTCAAAAGTTTTTTCACAAATTCCCCCAAAATGCATTTTACATGAGCTATAAATCCTTTTACATGCTCATACTCCAAACCACCAATTGCATCTGCCCTCAATAGAGACCTAGAGTCCCACTTTGAAACAATTCTGGATGAAGCTCTAAGACAAACAGCTTTTTCCTCATAAGCTAGCAGCCTCATAGTTGCAGACAGATAAATGTTATAATTTAATCAACAAAGTAATTCCTTGTATGGCTTCTGGTTTTACTTTTAAAAGAGCACTGCTCTTTTGAATTCAGTCAACAAAAATCATTTGATATTTACAAGTCTTATTCAATATATAGTTCCACTCACTTCTCACTGAAGAAGAGTTGGAAGCAGCAAATTTATACCGACTGTGTCCTTTAATAACAATGGCACTGCCTCTAGTCTTCAAGTATGGCCCAAGCTCCTAAGAATACTTTTCATTTTATCCTCCGTTTCAGCCCAGGAGAGTCCAGCTGGTCTGAATTAGCCATTCCGTTCTCCCTAGTTCGGGTGTTTGCATTTGAACTGGGCCGTCGGAGGATATTCCTGCAACTTTAAACACAGGAAGTCCTTCATTCGGGGCCAGTTTGGGGCTTCCTGTCTCCAAAACATCATGGCATTGTTGTGGCTCCCAGGCCAGACCTGCGCTGTGGCCGCAAAACAAGGCGAGTGGAGCCGCGCGCCGGGCCTTTCTGAAGGCGGAGGCGGACAAGCTGCAGCCGCTAAGGGGCTGTCGGAGGGGCTAGCTCAGCACCGCCCGCTCCCCCGCGCAGTGCCGCGCGCCCCGAGGACCAGGGTCACCTCACCGCAGGCTGGCAGGTGGTTCCCGGCCGCGCCGGGCTCAGGTCCCGCGCTCAGGAAGTTAGTTTGTTCCTCCGGCAGCTGAGTCCCGTGTGCTGTGGGCGCCGCCTCCCCCGCCGCCGCCAGTCCTCAGCCCGCAGCCGCCGCGCCGTGGACTGCATGACAAACAGCCGCCTCTATTCTCCGCCGCGCCGCCGGCCCTACTACCCTGCGGTCCTCCCCGCCCGCAGCTGTCACGGTCCCGGCATGCAAACTTCTGGCTGGGAACAAAAGGCTCCGCTCGGGCCGGGCGGGTGGGGGCGAGCCCTCCTCCCTCGTGCCGCGCGGCCCGCTCGCTCGCAGCTTGCTGGAAGTGCTTGGCTGGCTGGTGGTTCTCCTCCCCCTTCCCGCGCCGCCGTCGCCGCTGCGCTGCTCCGCGCCGCGCCGCGCCGCCCCGCCCGGGCAGCCCCCCTGAAAGCCCGGGAGCGCGCGGCGCGGAAAGCCACGGGGAGGAGGGCGGGGGCGGGGCAGGGCGCGGAGGGGGCGGGGCCGGGTAAAAGGAGCGACTAGGCGGAGGAGGGAGGCGGCGGACCGGATTGGAGGCCGAGGAGCCAAGGGCTTCGGAGGAGTTCGGGCGAGGGACTCTGGGCACCAACGGCTCGGCTCCCGAAGCCCACGCCCACAGCGCCCCGGGGCCAAATAAGCCCCGCCCACCTGAGAGGGCGAGCTAGGAAAATCGCACCAGCGCGAGGATCTGCTGCGCCGCGCAAATCCCCTGACAAAGGAAAGCCCCGCCCTCCTCCTGCTGACCCGGCCCCCTACCGCCCCCGCCTCGTTCCGGTCAGACTCCCAGCAAGCCCAAGGGCGAACGAGCCCAGGACCGGTGCACCCGCCTCTCCCTAGCCAGCGGGTTCTGGGAAGGGGGCTACTTGGGGCCCCATCTGCCGTCAGGGTCGCGCCGCCTTCATCGCCCTCGGCTCCAATTCTGCCGCCAAAGCTATCCTTAGTCTTTACAATGTCACCTTTAGCGCGCCCCTTGCCGATCCAAAACCACTCCAGCTTGAAACCCAGCATATAACTGGTATCCCGAGGAATTCGGTCACGCTCAGAGACCAAGTTATTGGATAAACTACAGGCACACTCTACATTCCCCCCACCCCTTCTCAGGTATATGGAGTCTTGATCCATTCCCCCACCAGGATTCTTGGCCCACAAACCTGATGACTGTGGAAAATGGGATGCAGGAAGTGGTGGCGAAGCCGGCAGCGGTGCTCCATGCCCAAACACCTGGGCTCCTTATTGCTTAGCATCCAAGGAAACCTGAGCCTCCTTGGGGCCAGATGAAAAGCATGTGTCTGTATTTCAAGTATTACAAAGGGCAACTCAGGAGACTGTCCACTAGTCTAAGAAGTGCAAAGCCCTGCTCCTTTTGTGATGGTCATTCTCTGATTTTACAAAAGAAAAAGAAAGTAAGTTTATTAAAATGTCTGAATCCCTGTTGGACACTGTGGTCAATATAGCTGGTGAAATTTATGGAAAAGTTACTTCTATCCTTTAAACAAACAGAAAATGAAGCCAGTAGTTGCTGTATGGAGATCAGTCAGTGAACCCCTGAGCTGAACCTTAGGCTCACTTGGGTAACCAAAGCAATCCTTGGCAAAAATGAGATGGAGGCTGAAGTTGATGATCAGAACTTGGTAACTAAAAGACCTTTCTTTGGCAAATGTTTCACCCTTTCTTACTTCAAAAGAGGCTGCTGATCAATTCTACCCACTCAAATACAAAAGACTCTCCATCTGTAAACTGAAAGAGGGTGTGGGAGACAAGACTAGACTGTTTCTACAGCCTTCCTGTTTTAATATTCTTTAGCTTTAAAACTTTTAAAGGAGCTGCCCCAAATCTTGTGTCCTCTTGGTCCTAGACATTAGAAACCCTGTTCTATGAAGAAGAATATATATAATAGAAAGAACCAAGAATGCTTGACCTAGAGAAAGTTCCTTCTGGGAGGCGTGTCGACATGAAGTATCTGAAGGGCTGGTATGTGGGAGGAAGGAAATTTGTTCTGGATGTCTCTTTAAGCTGGCACACTAAGATCCAAGGGCAGATTTCAAGCCAACAGAGAGCCTTCTCACAGCTATTCAAAGAATAGGGTGTACCGGAAAGGGGTAACTTTCCTGACCTTGGAGGTGTTTGAGCAAAACTTCAAGCAATCATTTGGCAGAGATCTGGGGAAACAGACATACAAATCCTTTATAGTTTATTCAGGATGAGTTTCCTAATTTTAACATACTGTGACCCTAAGTATTGATTAGTTTACAGATCTGATTCTTAACTGATCAGGGAATCTGGGTTTTAATTTTCTTTTAATTATTCACCACGACTGGAAAAACCCAGGGAAAGCAAGATCAATATCACTAGCAAATCTCTGGCCAAATACATTCACTTAAGTGTTCAGATATCATAACAGACTAGCATGCCAGGGCTCCTCTGGTTGGAAGAATCTAAGGAATTCTGGCTCTGGACTAAGGGCGGATGATTATTCTGTTATAAAGAATGATCTCGAGTGGAATCACAAACTTCATGGCCAGAAATTCCTTTCCTATTTCCTTACCAAGTCAGGTGCCAATCAATTCAGCCTTTTCTTAATTAATCCCTCCCCATACTTAGATCTACTTTATTCTGCCCCTCTCATCAATGTTCCATACAAATAAATAAATGGGGCATTCCAACAACTATTGAAGTTGAGATTCAAATTATCAGCTGTAGTCATACTCTAATTAAGGTGCTAAGAAAATATTAGAGAACTTGGCACAATGACACATGCCTGTAATCCCAGCTACTTGGGAGGCTGAGGCAGGAGAATTGCAAGTTTAAGGCCACCTTGGCAACTTAGTGAGATCTTGCTCAAAATAAAAATAAAAAGGGATGAGAATGTAGTAGCTTACCCCTAAGTTTAATTCACAGGATCAGAAGAAAAAAAGAGAAAAACTCCCCCAAAGTTTAAACTCAGGCTGTTGAAAAGAGAAAGATGGATATGTATGTGTGTGTGTGTGTGTGCGTGTGTGTATCTCAATGCTTCCTCCTCCCAAACAAAGACAAAGAATGCTTTCTAAGTGGCTTGTTTTGTTGTTGTTTTTTTAATCATCAGTAAGTGTTCAGAAAGAAATCAAGAGAGGAAGCACAAGGTCTCTTTTCTTCAGGTCCATCTTGTTTTTTCATCTGTTTATAAGTTTCTCCTTAGTTTTGGAATGTGGAACTCTGCCAATAGGTATCTCAGTGACTGAAATAAATACCTTTACAGCTTTCAGCCTCTTGTTGCCCTGATAGTTACAACAAAAAAAGCATCTGTTCATTTCACATGCTGTGTGTAAACTTTTTAAAAGAGAAACACAGCTCCGGAGTATCTCTTTGGATGCTTTCCCCACCCTTGAAACCACAAGCATAAGCACTCAGCCAAATTTCAAATTAGTTTCTAGTTAGATGATAACTGAGCTCAAAGAATTCTCTACTCCTTTTGAAATTCCTAAGAACAGAATCTGGTGTCAGATTTTCCTTTAGTGAATCTAGAAGGAAAAACAATCCTGGCGCTTCTAGCTCCTTCCTATTTAAAGGCAGTTGGGTGGAGTCTCCTTACACCCTATACACCTCCCTTTCCAAGTTTTGGACTTGGCACTTTGCCTTGGTCTGCTCCAGATCTGAACTGCCTGGCCTCAGGACAATCTAGAGACCCAACATCCACACCTCCTTAGATTCTAAAATGCCTTTTCATCCACCTTGATGGGGGCTTTGTCTTGGAGGATTTACTGCTGAATAGAGAAAAAAAAAATGGATCTTATTCAATTTTAAAACTATAAAATGTCTTTCATCTTAGATAGACTTTGCAAGCATTATTTAGTGGCAAGTAGAAACTCCACAGTATTAGTCTGTACCTGTTAAACATCAGTTATTACCATACCTCTGGTACTTTTATTATTATAAAGATGGCTAAAGAGTGGCTCCATAGAGCAAAACAGCATGATGTGGGGTTTATTTTAAAGGGATTTTGATGTTTTTTGTGCTCTCATGTATTCCCAAACCCATGAGAAAACTTTCCATACACTCTGCAGGAACTCTCATGACCCCTGTAAGCCCTTTCCTTCTTGTAGACTTTCCAAATGACTGTATGTCAGTTCCTCTTTT